TCCAATTATCATTAAAAGGTAAAAATACCTTAAGAAGTTGAGGAATAGATCCAATTATCATTAAATGGTAAAAATACCTTAAGAAGTTGAGGAATAGATCCAATTATCATCAAATGGTAAAAATAGCTTAAGAAGTTGAGGAATAGATCCCATTATCATCAAATGGTAAAAATACCTTAAGAAGTTGAGGAATAGATCCAATTATCATCAAATGGTAAAAATGCCTTAAGAAGTTGAGGAATAGATCCCATTATCATCAAATGGTAAAAATACCTTAAGAAGTTGAGGAATAGATCTAATTATCATCAAATGGTAAAAATAGCTTAAGAAGTTGAGGAATAGTAATAGTTATCAAATGGTAAAAATAGCTGAAGAAGCTGAATAAGTATAGTTATCAAATGGTAAAAACAACTGAAGAAGTTAATGACATGTTTTGAGTGATGGCGTTAAATCTGTACTAATTGATTGTCCAGTTATTATAGATTGTATTTGTAGTAACTGGTTTAGTAAATCATCATTTTAATATTAATTAATAAAAGTTGAATTATTAACATTTAAATGGTAATTATCATTTAAACAGCAGAATTAATCGATTGATAAGGACAACGATGACTTATGCATTTGTTGATTGTCAGACATGTCGAATGACATAAAAATACAATCAATTCTTAAATAACTTTAGTAATAACTTAATTTACAAAACTTTTATAAAGTTAATTCAATGTTTTGGACCTATTCCTCAACATCTTCAGCTATTTTTACCATTTGATGATAATTGGATCTATTCCTCAACATCTTCAGCTATTTTTACCATTTGATGATAATTGGATCAATTCCTCAACATCTTCAGCTATTTTTACCATTTGATGATAATTGGATCAATTCCTCAACTTCTTCAGCTATTTTTACCATTTGATGATAATTGGATCAATTCCTCAACTTCTTCAGCTATTTTTACCATTTGATGATAATTGGATCAATTCCTCAACTTCTTCAGCTATTTTTACCATTTGATGATAATTGGATCAATTCCTCAACTTCTTCAGCTATTTTTACCATTTGATGATAATTGGATCAATTCCTCAACTTCTTCAGCTATTTTTACCATTAGATGATAATTGGATCTATTCCTCAACTTCTTCAGCTATTTTTACCATTTGATGATAATTGGATCCATTCCTCTACTTCTTCAGCTATTTTTGCCATTAGATGATAATTGGATCTATTCCTCAACTTCTTCAGCTATTTTTACCATTTGATGATAATTGGATCCATTCCTCTACTTCTTCAGCTATAATTGGATCAATTCCTCAACTTCTTTATATACAATTTTATATATTTAATAATATTACGTTAATTGATCAGTATATCAAGTCACACACTGTACTAACAATTAAACGGTTAAATAATTAAATTAATTTTGATTGGTTAATATGAATTTGATCACATGATTCTGTGACAAAGTCACATAGTTAGCGACCATTCAATTTCTGTGACTTTGTCACTAATACTACGTCACGAGATATATATATATTTGACGGACCTTTTCGAGCGATCATTTTGATAGTAAATGTTTGAATGAGAAAATAAAAGATAAAATTTTTTGATATATAATTTGTTGTATCCACTAATATACAGTATTGATTATTTTATGTATGAAAATAAAATGCAATATTATTTGAAATATAATTTTGTTAATAGAATTAATAAACCATATGTTTGTCTCTGAAAGATATTTATTATTATTATTTATTTTGTGTTTTTGTTGAATATTTTAAATGTATATTAATAAAAAAAATATTATGTCTACATTTTGTTGTTTTGTTGCATTGTTTGTGCAAATAATGTAAATCAAAATTTAATAATAAATAATTTATTTCATAAAAAATAATCTATATACAGTATATATATATATATTATAGAAATACCTTAAAGTAGTTTATTTTTACTGTATATATTATATTTATAAAAGACTATTGTTTTTTTTAATAAAAACAAATGTGCTTTTTACAAAATTGAATATTTTGTTGATTTATTTGTTAAACATTAAATTTTATGCAATAGATTGCTTTTATATAGCGATTAAATATTTGAAACAAATAAATTCAAAAGATTTTTATATAAAAAAATAAGTTATTTCGCAAAATTTTTGGTTTTTATTGTTTCAATTTACTAAATAGATTACTAAATACTATTTTATAAATTACATTATGTCACACAATAACTATTAAATTTTAGGCATAATTTTAATGCATAAATATTTTTTAGTATATTATATATGACCATTTATAATTAAGACAATGCAGTTTTTTTTAATATATAAATGATAAATCGTTATATTTTAATTATCATATTATTTTTAAATTAATATAGTAAATTTAGTTTTATTAAATTAACATATTTATGCTTAAACTTATTGATAAATGTGATATTTATATTGCTATTAAAATAATTAAAGTAATCACAATAATCGGATCGTTAAAAAATTTAAAAGTTTATAATATTCTTGTTGTTTTTGAGTATAAAATAATTTTAAAAATAGATATTTTAGTTAACAGAATTATAAGTAAATTGATTTTAATAATTAGGTTAAATTTTGTAAATAATTATTTATTTTTTTATTTTTTAATTACTTAATCCAATGTTGTTTACCCTAAACATACATTCATAAGATTTTCGAGTATATAACCATTAAATATAGCAATAAAATAAATTGCATTTTTAATTTTGTTTTTCAAGTACTTCAAGTACTGTCATTTTGTAAGACTATAAATAAAATTTATATATCATATAATAGTTTAGATAACAAGATTATGGTATTATATTTTATTATTAGAGGTTATTATCCTGTTTATAATCTGTTTACGTTTTTGAATTAGCTAATTTCACACATACCGTATATCTATATACTGTATTTTAAGTACAATACTGTATAACCAGAGAACGGATTGTCCTATAATTCTTTAGACAGTTTGGATAATTTACTTCTATTAATAAGTTACACTAAAAAAATACTGACGATATTTATTGTTAACTTTTTTTAATTGCTTGAATAATTAATTACTATTGGTGTACGTATAACTTGTTGTTTTATAACTTATTCTAGATACATTAATAAGTATATTATTTTAATAGAAACCTAATATAATATATTTTTTATCTTATTAAATATTAGTCATGTGATTTAGTCATGTGTCCATATCATTAGTCTCCAAATTTTTTTTCTGTGTTAGCTTTACTTTTAATACAATATGCTGATAAAAAGTTCGCACCTATATGTGAAATCCTTCTACTGTGTATAACTATACTGTAAATAATTTGCAAACATTAATTCAATTTCTAGTAAATTAGTTTACAGTATATATCTAGCTGTACGCCTATTTTTATTGATATTTAAATACAGCAAAAAAATTTACATTTTACTAAAGATTTTTATCTCAAATACGTGTCAAACAATTTAACTATATATAACTGTATATATGTTTACTGTAAATACATAAAAATTATAACTGCAAAATAGTGATTTAAAATTTAGTTTTCACATTTTAGTGTATTAATTTATTTTTATTAAAAACTATGCTTTTAAATTCATTCATTCATTTAATTTTTATTGCATTTTATTTTATTTTTTTAGAATTTCATTTTAATGCCATTTCTTACTTCATTTGCCAGACATTTAACTCTCTCTTAACTTTCTAAACGATTAATGCATTTGATAGGAGAAAGAAGAGGATATGAATTGGTAATCAAAATAAACTTTTTTTAAGAGAGAGAGAGAGAGAGAGAGAGAGAGAGAGAGAGAGAGAGAGAGAGAGACTTATAATCAGTATAGAAAGCAGAGTATAAACTAAATTTAACTATATATATACACAGTAATGTTAATTTAGTAGACATATATATATATAATTGTATATTTATATAATATATACCGAACCCAATACTACCGTTAGATTTATTTTCGGATATTCACACAAAACTTTCAGTCAAATTAACGATTGTCTAAACTTTTTAACAGCAAATGAGTTCAAACCAAACCATAACAAACAGTCCAAAACACAATTTTACATGACTATCGAGAAAGCAGATATTATTAGTTAAAAACCATATGCTCTGATAGCTTTGATAGCTTTCCTCCCGCTGCTCACTTAGTAGACGACTCATATCTCTCTCTCTCTCTCTCTCTCTCTCTCTCTCTCTCTCTCTCTCTCTCTCTCTCTCTTTCTTTCTCTCTCTCTCTCAAATACACACAAACATATGGGTTCTCCAGATATAAACTTCCTCCTAATGTACTCTCAATTTAGTTGAACACTTTATATATATATAATACAACGAAAACCTAAATACTGTATATTAACAACAATCCTCTAAATTACATGATATAACAGTATATAAAATCATATGTTTAAACACTATAATAACATTACAAACATTAAATTCATTTATATCATACCGTATATTACATTCATAGGGCATTCATAGCACATTGAGGACAGGCAGACAAAACTAATAATTATTGTCATTCATAGTGTCAGTGTAGCTGTTAGTATTGAAAACAATATACTTTTGATTAGTTTGTCGAGTGCTCAGAATATTTCAATTATAATAACAATAATAATAATATTCACATATATTAAATATAATACAACAAAAATTGATAATACTTGACAAATACATGAAATAAATAGTTATTAATAATAATAGTATAGTTACTATACTATAGTATATTTATTATACATTGTATTGTACAGTATTATAAAACACTAAAAAACATTAATTTTCTAGTCTATTATAAGCCATAAAACATTGTATAGCACGTGAATAATACTATAGTAAATCAGTTATAAGTCATAACAATGATATAATAATCAATAATATTCTGTTAGATTATAACACAAATTTGAATTTTTTGTTATCATTTAATTGAGATTTAGTTAATATTTATTGTAAATTCATTTGAAATTAATTTTTCAAATTTCAAATAGATTGATATATTAGTTGTAGACATAAAACAATTTTAATTAGTATTTCTCAAAAAAAAAACAACACAACAAAATGATAATCACAAATATGTTAACACTTTTCATATTTTTCGTATCAATCGTCAAGTATGGACAGACTATATATTGCTGGAACTGTAACTCATATAAAGATAAGGGATGCGATAATGTGCCCAGAGGTTCACATATCAGTGCCCTATCCGATGAGATACGTAAATATTATGTAGACTGCAATACACTTACAACTGGTACTACCGGTAGTATAGCAACTGTTACCGAAACAAAGGGCAGTACCAGAATTACTGATACCATTGACAGTAACAGTACTGTTAGTTCAACCAAATTAAACAACTCTACAGACTTTGTTGACAACTCAGCCAATTCTACCGACACAATCAACAGTACTATTAATACAAATCCTACTACTAATCCTACCTTATCTACCAGCCCTACCGAAACTACAGTTATTACCCATACCGCCAATAGTGATACCAACAAGAAAAAAACATATATTTTATGTCGAAAACAGGTCCAGCAAATCGATGATAACAAACGGACCATTAGATCGTGCGGTTATCTTACGGAAGGCAATGATTGCTACCAGACTGGCAAATCATATGTATGCGAGTGTAAGACTGATGGATGTAATACCAGTTCACCGATTGTCGTCACTAATTCAATACTATTACCACTGATGACGATAGTCTTAAGTCTACTATCTATGAGCGAAAACTTTTTAATATTTTATTAATTCTAATAATTATTTTTATTTAATATATATAAATATTCAGATTTATTTTGAATATTATTTTTTTTTAATATATACAGTACTAGATCTACTACTACCACTGTATTAATGGTTTTATTTAAATCACAACTTTTTTGTGTTCAAATAATTTAATGTTAAGCTCATCATATATTATCAATAAATTAAATGCTATTTATGATTGACTTTGAAAAAAGGCTGAGTTTGCTTTTTCAAAGTAAAAAAATAAATATAATGAATGACTAGAATAATAGATTAAGTGATGATAAAAGTCATTGTTGTGTATGTGTTATGAAAGATCAATTAATGACAAACATACTGTATATACTGTATACAATATACAGTAAGTGTATACACTATTATAAGGTACACTAATAGTATCAACACAATTGTGATTATATTAAGTAAAAAAAAATATTATTAATCCCCATGTGTTAATCACTGGCATACCGTAGTTTAATAATAGGTTTTACTACTAACACACATTACATAACCCCTGTTCCCCTATTAATAATGTTAATGCACTAACAATTTTTACAGTATATTGTACAATACAATACATTAAATGCATAAAAAGACTAAAAAGACTAATATCAAATATAATACAGTATTATTGCATTATAATTGGCATAAAAATATACGTTATATAGAAATCTAAAAAAAATCTGTTTTAATACCATTGAAAAATAATAATCTAAAACATTTTAATTGCATAACTAATGCTAATTTCATACATTGATTAAGTAATATTAAGCATAGATTTATTTTATACTATCGTGTAATACTTATATCGTATAAAATAATATAATTTAATGCTTTAATTTAAAAAATTTTATCAAATTAAGTATTGTATTATTTTTTTCATTAAAATTGCACAAAAGTCAATTAAAACCTTTTTTCTTTGTTATAAAATTTTCAAATAATATATTTATTAATTTATTAATTATTATTATCTTCTAATAATATTTCTGACTATTATTGATAAAGTTTTCATAAAATAATAATTATAATAATAATCAAAAATAAGTATATGTCATAAAATAACAATTTTAATTGTATAAAATGTCAACATTATATTTTTTAATTATTTCTGCTTATAATAAAATAATTTTAAAAGTTTATAAATATTTTAAATCAACTCAAAAGACAAACAAACAAATATAAGTTCAGTAATAAATAATTAATATGTTTGTATTAACTTAATTCAAATCAAATATAAATTTTTATAAATGAGAAAAACATTATGCAATATTCATTAACTAAAATAAAAATCAATTAAATTTATGGCAACAATTATAATAAATCTACTTTAATTACATGATCGTAGAAAATCAAATAAATTAGTAAATTAATGTTTACTGAGAATACCTCTTAAATATATTAAAAATAATTACATTAAAAACGAAAAACAATTTAAAATAAAATATTTACTTTGAATGGTTGGCCACTTGTTATCCCACAAAACACTATAAATGTTTTGCATTTGTTTTTTGTTGTTGCTGTGAACTATAATTTTCTATAATTTAAAATACATTACATTAGGAAAAAAGTCATTGATTAAAAAAATAAATAAATAATAAATAAATAAAATATTTATGTATTGCTTACACCCAAAAAGGCAAACAACAAAAAAATATTATTTTAATTTATTGACCTTTTCTTTTATATTAAAACAAAATTATATCATATATTTTTTTATTCATTTATTTAACTATCGGCTCAATTCAAACCAAAGCATCTTATTATACTTACATACAAACAAAATAAATGATAATATTTTTTTGTAACGATTTGTTATAAAATGATTAAATTAGAAACAAAACAAAAATCAAAATAAAAGACATTAGATTTATAATTGATATACGATTTCTATAAAACTATTACATTAATTATATGATAATATGTTTTATTGATGTATATATATATATTCTAGTAAATAAATTTCCAAAATTTTTGTTTTTATGTTTTTAAAAAATTTTGAAATGAATATTTGACATTTTTCATGAAATTAAATAAAATATGTATTTAAATTCATTTAGAATAATTTTCTAAATTAATTATTAGATATTTGCATATTTGTTGGATTAAACTAAAATTTTTTCAAATTGCAATAATTTTCATCAATTATTGTAATTAATTATAAATATTTTAAATATATAATACTGTAAATGCATATAAAGCTTAAATATAAAATTCACATTTATTATTAATTATTATCGTCATTATCATAATCATTATTATACTTATATAAATCCATTAATATTATTTATTTATCATATTTATTAGCAAATGTCAATCAACTAGTTTTTTTAATTGCAATAAACTAAAACTATTAATATATTTTCTAAAAACAAATGTTAATCAAAACAAATAACTCAATAATATTTTACTATAAGATAAAAATACTCGAAATACTGTAAAATGTTAAGGAAAACAACGAAACAACAATAAAAAATGATAAAAAAATATTAAGTAAATAATTGCAGCAAATATTTTGTTTTTTATGAGTGTTTTGATATTTATATCTTATATCACTAAAAAAGCAAATAATTTTTTACAATTGATTAGTTTTTTAAATATGAAATTCTGTATATTGTTTGTCAAATTCACACAAACTTAACACAAAAAAATACGATAATTACTTAGCATTTTATTATTACTTATATTATTATTAGATACTGTATATAATAATTTCAGTGATAATTTGCAACAATTTTCTTTAAATAAAATTATTTCAATAGATGTATATAACATTGTGTTTGCAAATTATATCAATTTAATTATAATTAGAGTGTATTTGAATCAGTATTTGTTTTTTAGATCATTTTGTGGCCAAAAAACAATCAGAAAATGTCTTCTGTCTGGGATTGGGTGAACATCTTTCACAAAGACATTGACACTTTGCCACCATATCAAGTGGCGGCCGTCAAACCGGAAAACTATGTTCACTACGATGTCATTGCTAGAGAAGACCCGGTAGTATTGTACTCGCATTTTACGGCTGACCACGAAATCATGTATGAACTGGTCGTTCACAAAGATCTTCATATAAAGACGGCCTATAGTTTGATGCGAAGCAAATCGGCCACAGATATCGATCGATACTTTAATAGTTTGAGCCAAAAGTTGCCACAAATATTAACAATTTCTCCGCACATTACGGTAGAAATGCTTCAAGAGATCTGCAATTATGACAAAGAGCACCAAAACCAGAGTTTAGCCCATATTTGTGCCTATTATTCACAACTCAATGACTACTTTAATCAGTTAACACCTAACGACACGGCTATCATCAACTGTCGCAGTCCGGGCTCCGGTCGGACTCCTCTACACATCGCTGTCCTTACGGGTCGCGTATCAACTGTTCAAAAACTTTTATCGTTGTCACCGAATCTGGAAATTGTCGACCGAAACGACAACAATGTTCTACATGTGGCCGCCAATACCACAAAAGAGATTATCGAAAAAATCTGTTTGGCGGCCAAAACAACGACCAGTGATGTCAATCTTATATCACTGATAAACGTCCGAAATAATGATAACTTTACGCCACTCTATATCGCCTGTTATAATGACAAACCTGACTGTGTTAAGGAACTGCTGAAGAATGGTGCAGACGTTAACTCGGCGTCGATTATCGATCAATCAGATAGCGAAATGGTTGACCACAAGATAGACGACGACAAACTAATAAGTGATTTGGAAACTAAAGACATGAAAAACGGTGGGACACCATTGCATTGGACAAGTAATGAAGAGGTGATGGAAATCCTCATTGAGAAAGGCTGTCACGTCGACGGTCGTGATTTTCAAGGACAGACAGCATTGCACGTGAAGGTAGCTCGCAGTGAACTATCGGGTGTTATAATCTTACTGAGCTATGGTGCAGATGTGTCGATCAAAGGCCTGAATGGTAACACACCATTGCATTTGGCCGTCAAATCTGAATTGTTAGCTATGGTTCAGGCATTGATAGTGTTTGGCGCCGATGTTAACGCCAAGAACTCTAATGGAGAGACAGCCAGACATTTGGCCGCCGCCGGGAAAAGAAGTTCTGAAATGGATCTAATTCTTTATGTATTRCATTCAGTGGGCGCCAAACGATGTTCAACCAATAGATCTGATTGTACTGATGGCTGTTCCCAATCAAGTGGCAGTCAATTCAACGGCAGTCCTCCCGATAATTCTCCATTCAAGAGAATCGCCAAATTTTATGACAATTTATTGGGCGAACTTATTGTTAAAAAAGCCGTAAAACGTAAACAAGAGAACTCATCGTCGGACAGACAGTCGACGACAACAGCCAATCGTTGTCGTGTTCTGTGTTTAGACGGCGGAGGTGTCAGAGGTTTGATAATCATACAAATGTTGTGGGCGTTGGAGACAATGGCGAAACGTAAGATGAATGAGATGTTTGATTGGATGTCCGGCACCAGCACTGGCGGTATATTAGCTCTATTGTTAGCATTGGGTAACTCTACCGATGATTGTCGACGATTATACTTTCGGCTCAAAGATAAAGTTTTTGTTGGTCTTATGCGTCCATACGCATCGGCACCGCTGGAAAAGTTTCTTAAACAGGCTCTGGGAGAGGACACTCGTATGGGCGACATTGAGAAACCGCGAGTTATGGTGACGGCCACCATTGGCGACCGATTTCCACCCGGTCTGCATCTGTTTCGCAATTACGACTCACCCGCCAATATATATTGTAACACCGATGGTCACAATGTTAAAGAGGTTATTCCTTCTGTACCTAATCCACTGGATGAACACGTTTGGAAAGTTGGCCGATCTTCAGGTGCAGCACCCACCTATTTCAGACCATGCGATTCATATATCGATGGAGGACTGATAGCGAACAATCCAACTCTGGATACATTGACAGAGATTTGTTCGCTTAATAAAGCCCTCACAGCTGTCAACAGAGAGTCAGAGACACTTGATTTGGATGTTGTTGTCTCACTGGGAACTGGTAGCATACCGGAGGAAGTGGTACCCATTATTGATATATGTCGACCCGAAAGCTGGCACGATATAGCCACCAGTGTAGTGTCGGCCAAGATTCTGGTCAAACTGTTGATTGAACAGGCCAGTCAATCGGATGGACAGGTAGTCGAACGGGCAAAGGCCTGGTGCTCACAGACAGACGTTCCCTATTTTCGTATGAATCCTCCGCTATCGGAGGACATTGAGCTCAATGAGACCGACAATACAAAGTTAGTGAATATGTTATGGGAGACGACTGCCTATATGTTTAGCAGATATAATGAATTGGAAGAATTGGTTATATTGTTGTCGTAATAATAATAAATTTTATTGTTTTTTTAAATAATATATATTTTGTATCTTAAAATTGTTGTACTGTATTAGTATTTTTTAATTAGTTTCTTATATTTTATTTTATTTATTCAACTATTACAGGTATTTAATACTTCCGATCATAATGATTCAAATGATTTTAAATAAAAAAAAGTATTTAAAATACTATAAATATTTGCATTAATATAATTAAATACAGTATAAATTTTAATATTTAAATTTTTAATATTTTATATATTATATATTATTTTTTAAGGACTAAATAATATTAAAATACTAAACTAATAATTGGTTATTTTATGATGGAAATTATATTCAGTTAATTTATTATTGCATTAACTTATAAAAGCCGTTATACAGTAGTAATATTTTAATCACTAAAATCTAACAAATTATATATTAAATATTATAAAATTATAATATAAAATTTTTTAAATATGAAAACTCACATATAAATTATTAACTTCAGTGATATAGTTTAAAAAATGCAATTTATATAAATCAAAATCTCACATGTAATCTAATATATAAATTTCAATATTTATAAATTAATTAACACTAAATTTGTTTAGTTTTTTCCTGTGTTAATAATATTTTGTACTATAATTTATATCTAAAAAAAATTGTTATCAAAATTTTATGAATTATTCACACATCAATAAATCTATATATTTAATATATGTTTATAAATTTTATTGAAAAAAATAAATATATGATTTTGAATGGCATTTATCTCCGAAAGCTATAAAATGTTAGAAAAACAAACATTGAATTTTTCAGTCAATTTAGAGTTCATACCCCATGTCTTGAAAATAATGTATTTTTCGGGTTATAAACAGTAGTAACTTATAATATACAGTACAGTATAGCTGGTAATGTTTAAATGGGTTGATTGAGTGACTGTGTGTGTGTGTGTGTGTGTGCCGGCTGTTAATTACATTGTGCTAACTTAKCTAAGAGTACAGTGCAGTTCACTGTTTGTTTTTAGGTACACAGCTTTGAATATATTGATAGATTTATACATTAGTGTTTGACATATACGATATGTCATAGATATAGTGGACAGTTAGCTATATATATAAAGCTAAATATCTTATAAATATATAAGGCTTTTAGTCATTTCATTTGTTGGCACTGGTGTTTGGGATCATTAGTTAAATGGTTGAGAAAGTAAGGACTGGTAGCCAAAAACTAACAGCCAAATTTTCTGCTCAATTTATATAAACATTTTTTTTCTCTCTCTAAATGTTTATTAAAATAACCAGAAAATCAAATGTTTGTTTTGGTAACGACTAAACAGTCGACTAAATTATATGCAAATCTTTGTGTGCTATCATTGAAAGCAATCTTAAGCTAAATCTTATTTGCGGTTATGGAGGTATATCTCAAGATCCCAGTGCCTGATCCTGATATTGAGGCAACTGTCATATCAAACTGACGAATACACAGTGTATTACATACTAAACAAATACACAAAATATATAAATTATATATATATATATATAAATTCATGTTAATATACAACAGAGTATTTCAAAAATAACAAAAAATATATAAATTATTAGTTTTTTTTTGGTCAAAACCAAATAAGTCCATTATTTATTTATAGACAATACCTACATAACTATAAGTTATAGTATATATAATAGTATATACCCGACCAAAAATGACAGTCATATCAATTTATATTCAGTACAGTTATACAGTAGTAAAACTGAATTACAAGCTCTTATATAATTTTTTTTATATTAAATATATAAAAATTTCATATATCTATTCTCAAGACAAGTAAAGCTTTAATTCAATGTTTTTAATACAGTATTACTGAGATTGTTGTGCCAATAGATTACAGTAGATTTTCTTTATATTTTTTGTTGTTACTATAATTTATTGTGAATAACATTTTTTGTGTGTGTTTTTATATACGGTATATATTTTATGTCATACAATGTATTAGTATCATATTTATGATTAAGTTATGGTTTAGTTTGTTTCTATAGGTTTAGTATTGATTAACTTAAAAAATATCTACTGTTTTTATATATAGTTTTTACTAATTGGTTATATCTTGTTTAATTTTCACAAAAATAATAATTTTACTAAAATATTTTGACTGTTAAATTTAATATACATGTTAGTATAACTTATAACATTTTATATAATTTTAATCATTATACAATAATATAAACTATTACAATTAATTATATATCATATTATGCTAAAAACTTTGTCTATCAATGTATAATATTTAATAAATAAATTAATTAATTATATAATAAAATTAATAATATTTAGTAATTAATTTACTAACACATTTAGTAATTATTATGCATTAAACAATAATGTTGTTATATTTAATAAACATGTCAATATTTTTTTAATATTCAATAATAGTATCACTGAATTGATTGATTTATGTAGTAAATTGTAAACATATTGAATATGTAGTACATAATGATATGTACTACATATATATGAAAGGTCAATAAACGATTAATTAAAGTTTTTAATTATATATAAATATAAATTAATAAATATATTGCACCAAATAAATCAATTAAATTATAACTGTATGTGGTTTATATTTAGTGGATTACCAATTTATAAAATAATTTATGTTTTATTAAATCAGATATTTGTTGTAACTATATATTGAAGATTCCCGGATATCTAAGCAATTAATTTTGTTGTATAACTTGTAGACACAAACAACTGTTGTTAAGACATATTGAGTTTTTAATATTAAAATATTTTCAGTATATTATATAACACTAAACAATATTATTTATGGCAATACATATGTTAAATATTTATACTGTATTTAAAATTTTCAGAAAAAATAATAATTTGTTTACTTTGATATTCAGTTTAAACATTTATAAATTATAAAACATCACAAATATACAGCAATAATATAGATAGATAAACGAGAAGAGAGAAGGAGAGAGAGAGAGAGAGAGAGAGAGAGAGAGAGAGAGAGACCAACAAATTGTGAAGTGATATATTGAAAATGGAAATTATTTAGAAAATTTTAGTTTACTTTATTTGTAATGTACTAAATGTTTGAAAAATTAAATTATAGCCTAAATATATACTGTATATTATACAAGTGGTATAGTATTGAGAAAGAAATGATTTATTGCAAACAACATTCATTTGGCTCTTCATTTACAGAGTCTCTCTCTCTCTCTCTCTCTCTCTCTCTCTCTCTCTCTCTCTCTCTCTCTCTTTCTCTCTTAACTTTTCCCCTTAAGATGTAATCAATGTTTGGTTAAGTAGTAAAGTCCAACCACTCCTTATATCCTACAGAAGCTATTGAAATGAATCCCCTTAACAATGTCTCTATACTATCACTTAATTTTGTCCAAACATTCAAAATAAATAATATTTGTGGCCAATAATACCATTAATCCAAATATATTTATTATTGTTTTCAATATAATACTGTATCTTTAATACAGATTCTGTAGTGTATATACAATATACAATATATATATATATATATATTTTGTTATAAGTTCATAACATAACAATTAGTTTTGAGATGCATTTATACATGGCTTTCAAATTTCTATATACACTGTAACAGTACTGTATAATATAATATTATTAATATTAGTATAATGTGCAATATATATATATTTATTAAAATATTTGATTAATTAATCAATTATTAAGTAAATAAATTGTAATATAAATATTAATTTTTATTTAAAATAAATAAATGTCTATCAATTATTTGTTTAAAAATTATTGATTATAAACATGCATTAATTTTTTTATTTTGTTTTTTTATTTAATAAGTATTTGATTATGCCTTTTAATTATTGGTTATATAACCAAAAAATAAACATAAGAGGCATGATTTATAAATAAAATGTCATTAATCACAAAATGCAAACAAGATATTAATATAAAAAAATAATATTATATCTTATATATTATAACTTATAAAACTCAAGTCTAAAAAAAGTTAATGATTTTATGTTTTATATTAAAATTAATATAATAATAGAACATTTGTTTTGATTATATTTTAACTTTCTTTTCATGAATATCAATATATACTGTAATTAACATAAATTAGTGATAAATTGATTTATTAACTTATAATTTTATTGATGGTTATAAATATGAAATAATTTCAGCATATTTTGCAATTAAAGTATTTAAGACATACACTTGTCTTATTATACTATAGTATTAATAATACTCTAAAATAGTCATAACATTTGCATATAATTTATTTCTTTCTTTAAAAAAAATTATATAGTATTAAATCATTAAAAATTTATAGTCAACAGTTGCCTATCTTTAAAAATAACACAAAAAAAACTACACAACAGTCCTCACATTATATACTGTATTATATCAATATATCAAATAATATAATTAATAGGTTCCCATAAAAATGTCATTTTCTCTGGGTGTCCATACCCATTGAACTCTGGGATTTTGATACGGTATATGTCTATCATTTTTTTCCTAATAGTTTCTTGTATGAACTTTTAAGGGTGAGCACAGTTATCTCTCAAATTTCAAATATGTGGTGGTTATCTGGTTTTTTTCGGGGGTGTAATACGATCCCTATGTCTTATATACTATCATTACAATCTCTTGATATAAGTGCTGCAAAAAATGCTAGTTTTATATTATATATAAAAAAACTTAATTAGTATTTATAATTATATTATTATTATTATTATATATATAATATAAGACATTTCCTTATTTATGTTTTAGTATTATAAGATTTTAGTATTAATTGCATACATTTTAATGGATACAGTATTTAAGTAATGATTTTTTTGTGCAACAAATAATAGCTTCTACTGTATATAAATTAATATATATTTTTGCAAAACAAACAAATTTTTTCTCAGAAAGCATTCAATGAATTAAAATTTTTATTAAATAATGATAAAAATCATTTTTCCAAATAAAATTAATTCAATAATATTTGGTAAACAATGTATTGCATTTTAATTTGTGTTTAAAAAAAATACTTTATCTGAATATTAAATTGTTAATTAAAATTATTATAAATTGATTAAATTAAGAATGAAAATTATGTTACTTATAATAATTCATTAATAAAATACTACATTAGATTTCTAAAATAAATTTATTGAATTTTCTATCATTATTATTATTATTGATATTTTATTTGAAAATGTATGCATATTTTTATTCATAGTAATCTATTGAAATAAATAAATATTAAATTAAATTTTTATCAAATTGCGATATAGCTATCTCGTAAAAATACAGTATATAATATAATTTATATATAACTATAAAACTAAAATTATTAAACATACAAAAACATGTTATTAAACATGTTTTAAAGCATATCATTAAACACATTACTGTTTTTAGATAAATACAACAAAATTTTTATATATGTTTAAGACATGTCTCCCCATAATCTTTAAATACTAAACTTTCAAAAAAAGATTGCGATAATTATTTATGCATTAAATCTCTCATTAGTTTTTTATATATTAGTTGAAAGGCATTACTGAACGTTTGCCTAAAAACAAAGTTGAAAAGTTTTTTTTTCGAAGTCATAAAACATTTTATTAATTTAAATAACCAAAAAATAATCAAATTAATTAGCAATTATGAAAATTATATCAATTATATTAATTTTATGCCTCATTCAAGTGTCACTTTGCGCTTATCTTGACTACGGATCAGAATCGGCTTTAGTTGACAGTAGTAATAACAGCGAAGACGAAGACTCAGTGGGCGATAGACAACCGGATAATCCAATGATAACTAAACTGAAACTTCAGGCCGATTCCGATGCAGATCTTGACGACGAAGATGAGAGCAATGGCGATGGTTTGGTTAATCAGGACGATGACAACGAACCAGATATGCCTAAAGTGGACGCAACACAAGCACCGCCAGAACTACAGCCTCAGCCACCGGTAGCCAACCAGCCAGACATTGCTGGTCAGCCTAGTCGTGGTTATCCGGGAATCAACGAACCGGCTCCACAGACACCCGATTACAGTGCTTATGCCAACAGAGGTAATGTCTGCGGTCAGTCATATTTTTCAAATAATCAAATAATTTTTTTTTCGGTTTTTGAAACAAATAGTTTACGAGTGCCATAGCGGTCAGTATCAGTGCCAAAAAGTAGAGGCATCGGCGCCCACCCGTTGCATACCAAACGAGTGGCGTTGCAATGGTGTCCGCGATTGCGAAAACAACGACGACGAAAGCAGCTGTTCGGCCAGTGGCGGTACCGGACCCAGGACTGACATCAAGTGCTCACCCGAACAGTACAAATGCCACGGCGGCGCATGCATTGAACGACAATATGTTTGGTAACTATTATTATTATTTATCTAATGTTTTTTTTATTTGTTGTGTTTGCAACAACAAAAATTATACAGTATATTGTTTTTAATTAAATGCAAAGTGACGGCACCTATCACTGCACGTATGGAGACGACGAGGCCAACTGTCAGACACCGCAGACCTCGTTGCGCGACTATAGCAACAGACAGGATCGGCCGGCGTATCCCAACTATCCCTATCATATAACCCGTCGCTATGAGGCCACACCCGGTGCCAGTGACCAGACCACTGCTAACAGAGGATCGGCGTCTGACACGGCTTCACGCGATATCTATACGCGACCGCAACCGCAGCCACAATCTGACCGAAAATCAGAGGAATACGTCCAACGATTGGAATGGAGAGACCGTTGTTTTAGATCATGTCTTAAATATTGAAACAATTGATTTATTATTAATATATTTTTTAAAATTTTAAATATTACACTCATTTATTTCTCATACATTTATTTTATTTGGCGACAATTTTTTTTAATATATACAAAGAGTATAATCCAATATTTCTCATAGATATTAGAGCCCAGAACGAGAAGATAATTTTATTAATTGATAAAATGTTTCTCAATTTATAAACAATTAATTATTTTGTGTTATTTTTATTTAAAATAAACATTTTTTATTATTGACTTTTTCAAGTGCAATCAATCACATACACATACATATAGTTTACACATAATATTATATACGGTATATAAAGTACAGTAGTTTTATTTAATATTAATAAAATAAATATTTTTTATAAAACATATATTTAGGAATATTCTGTTTGTTAAATTTGCTAAATTAAATTAAAAATAATTGATTAAGATCTTATAATTATTTAATTTATAAATTTTGTTATAATTTCAAATAATTACTTTATTTCACTTGAAATTTAAGTAAATTATAGAAACTATAATATACATGTGCTATACTATTATTTAAAAAAATAAAATTAAGTTACTTTACTAATGTTCGACAGATTTAATAGTCGTATTTTTTTGTAAATGATGTTATTTTTTCAATGGTTTCTCAATTTTTATACACCTTTTATCCTATTAAACCCCATATACTATTAAAGTTTAAATTAAATATATCTAATTTAATCAGCGATACTATAAATGGATTGATTATCTCTATGCATCTCATATAACACTAAATTAGTTGATATAGTAACTGACAATTTTGCAAATTTTACAATCATTTATAAGTTTTATCGATGATTTGTTAATTACATAACACATGATAAATATACTGTTTATAAATTTATATTATTTAAACAAACCAAATAAATTAACATGCTTAAAACTTCATTAAGCTAAACATTTTTATCATGATAATATGATAATAAACTTGTCAAATCAATTGCATTATACTGTACCATATATTGAATATAAACATATACATAGCTATAATTTATATATGGGATACAATTAATTATATTAATTAAAAATTAGTTGAAATGTATTTTTTTTATTTGGATTTCATGAGATAAAAATCGAGACAAACTCTTGAATTGCAATTAGTTTTGTTTTGCCGACAATTAATCTTTGCCTTTCTTTGCCTCTGATTTACTAATAAAGATTAAAATACTCTCTCTCTCTTCTCTCTCTCTCTCTCTCTCTCTCTCTCTCTCTCTCTCTCTGACACACACACACTCACTCACTCACTCACTCACACTCATATTTAATGACAACTTGTTTTTCATATGATGATTACTGCATTTGTTATTGAATTTTAATTAAAAAATAATTAAATATTATTCTAATAATAGATATTTTTATATCTATGATATAAATTATTCAATATAAAAAACGGTATAATTATGTTGTCACATATCAAGTGTTTTATGTTTTGCATAATTAAATGTTACAAAATTATATTATACAGTATAAAAGTATATATATATATATATAATTTTATTATATACTGTATAATATATATCATATAAGCCAACTAATCGATACCACAAAACTTGATATATCTGCCAAATATATAGCAATGTCAAAACCTATTGGTGTCGATGCCGGAGATGTCAAGTTTATATAAAGTTTGTATACAGTAGTAAAAGATGTCTAATCTCATTAAGTTTTTTTGTATTTTATATGAAAACTATATACAACAAAATTCAATTGACTTAATTCAATTGAATTTTATTGAATAACAAATACAGTATAACACTATCTATTGATTCATTTACAGTGAACTACATATGAAATTGTATATTAAGTTTTTTTATATTATAAATATAAAGATATTACAGAATATAACAGCTATATGTTTTATTTTGTCACTATGTTATCTAGCATTTATTATTTATTGTATGTTTATATATTAATTTTTTTTAAATATTTATATAGATATTACATCGATTTTATAGTAAACCTATATTTTGTATACAGCAAATTGAAAATACATTGGCAACAGTTGTTAAGCATTTAAGTGTCAAATAATAATAACAATAATAGTTTAAATATATTATACCATATTTATCATTAATAACACAAAACAAAAATATAATTTAAAGTATTTTTTTTAACCTATTAGCACAATTTTGTTTATAGTAATATAGTTTAGTAAGTTATATAATTTTTTTGCTAAGCTATTAAGTTAGGTATCAAATTTTTATTTTTTGTTAGCAATAAATATTAAGATTTTTTAATAAACGATTATTTCAATGAACTCACTGTTATTTTTGGCGTTAATATTATCGCTAGCATCTTGTAAGTCATGTTTTATTTGATTGAATGTGTTTTTATTTTCTAATTTCATTATAAAAACTAATAATGATATTTAAAACGATTATTCAATTAATAACTTGTGATAGAAATATATATATATATTATTCTATAAATAAATAAATTCAATTCAATGTTAAACCCTTTTTTTTCTCTCAATCATTAATTTTCAACTATGGTATGCAATACTTATACTGTATGTACAGTATTTGCACAAATATTTTTTATTTATTAGATAAGAGCAAAATAAAACTATTCACGACTTTTGAGGTCATAAACTATATATTACTTTCATTGGGATTATCAATAAAAATGATTTTTTTTTTTAAATAACAGCGGCATATGATTACAATTATCTGGTCATTGAATACATTTGATTTTAAAAGTAATCATTGCTAATGTAATAGATAGTATCAAAAAATAAATAATATTGTTATATGATAATTTTATAAAAAAAAATTAATTATATATAGTTATCCAGTTATAATTGCCACCGACTAAGTATAGTTAATAATTAATTTTTGACATTATATATAACTTTATTATTGAATTTAATGTTTTAGTTTTACCAGATAATTAATGTAATCATTATAATTGTATTGCTATTGCTACTGTTTAAGATTGTTCCCAATTTTAAAAAATATAAATAAATATCATTTTTTAAAAATAATATAAACTAATTTTTATTATACAGTATAATTTTGTTTAGTAAGTTAGATATATCTATTTCATTAATTAATAAATTAATTTATTTATTTTAAATAAACAACTACAATATGAATAACACTAATAGTAGTACTAATAATAATACTGTAATAATAAACTACAGGTGCAATCGGTAGACGAGATAAGAAGCCTCCGGAGCCGGACATGGAGTTGACGATGCATTGGCGCGATTTGAGTTTGAAGACCATCTGCGAAGAGGAGGAATGGAAAGCCCAGTTGGAACCGGTCAAAGAAAAGTTTGCCAAATGTCTGGGCCTTCGAAAGCTTGTTATCGACGACAACGATCCCGACGGTAACGTTGACCGATACAGTATGTTTAAGAGCGACAATAATAATCCGTATTGCAGGTCAGTTAGCCATTCAATCCAATAAATACTAATTAAAAAAAAACACAATAATATTATTGTTATTTTTTTTGTTGTTGAATAAAATACCAGAATTTCTAAGTCATGGGAGGCGTGCACTCACTATCTGAAAGCACTCAACTGTATTGAGCCAAACGGCGATGAAGTCAAGCGTCAGCTGAAGGGAGGATTATCTCAATTGGTGTCTAATAGCAAACGATTTGATCCGGATGATATGAACTCAATGGCCAAGGCCTACCAGATGCAGTGTGAGATGGCCAAGTTTGCATCACACTACAGCCCGTTTGGTGGTCACGGTAGGTTATAGTTTGCACACCCCACACACACCCACACATGCCTGTCCTATTCACAGTACTTACTTGAATTGCTGTTCATTGATTTTTTGACAACAAAACACACTCTAATAGGAGAATTTTGAACTCAGGTATGGATTATTACGGCGGAATGGGTATGGATTATCCCGATATGGGTGGCACCGATGGGGGCGAAGGTGATGGGGAGGGGGAAGTGCCTGAGTTACCACACGACGGCGACTTCTAATAGCAAATAATTTTTAAAATTTCTTTATCAAACGCACAATTAAATTATTATTAAATTTTTATTGAATTTAATATATTATTATAAGAAATTATATTTTTTATGCTATAAATTATTTATAAACTAACTGTTATAACAAATTAATGCACAATACATGCAATGAAAAAAAAATTATTTATTCAAAATATTCTATAATACAAATTAAATTCACACAATACAGTCATAAAATCTGTCATAATATTGATAAAAAAATTTTTTTGTTGTAAAATAATAAATAATTATTTTATTTAATATTAAATTTACTTTTCTTGTTGTTATGTATATTACAAAATCAATATCTAATATACTGTACACAATGTATAAAAAATAAATAAAAATATTGATATAAACTTATTAAAAAATAAATACATTTCATTATAATTAATAATATAATTTATAAATTTACATAAACAAAATCTAATTTCAACATCAAAAAAATTGTTAACTAAAAATCTAATCAATTTTTATTGACTGAATGATTGGTTATCGATTGTTTGGTCATCAATCGATTATAGATAAGCATCTGTTGCGCTGTCAATGGTTTGGCATCACTGTCAATGCGACGCACCGGTAGTGTACCGATCGGTGTCGATCGGATGCGACCGTTCATCGGAGTATAACAGTTCTGTTTGTGGCAAACACTGGCGTTGAATGGAAAGTCACCGCCGCGGCCAAAGTGACGGTCGATATCATTGTCATAGACAGGAACTTCACAATCTTCCGAAAGCTGCTCTTTGTTCGAATCGTTAGCTGACTTCACCATCATTTCAGTTGACACTTCCTTATTGGTCTTCAATAGCTGATTATCAACATCGGGTACAACCTGTAGCTGTGATGATATTATATTTTTAGTGGACAACCACAACGCCAGTGATGTTTGTAGCGCATCCAACACATGCTCAGCTGTCATACGGTGTCGCGGGTTTAGGACTAATAGTTTGTTGATTATCGACAAAGTATTCACCGAAACACGACAGTCCTTTGGTATTGAATACTCGGCTGATTTTATTTTGCGGAATAACTCTTGAGGTACGGAATCATAGAACGGAAACTGTCCGAAAAGCATAGTATATAATACCACTCCGAGTGCCCAACAATCAGAGGCTTTACCCAAATATGGTTTACCGGACAAAACATCAGGACTTATGTAGGCGGGAGAGCCCCGTTGATCGGTTAGCAAATCGTTTTCATTGACCAAATGTTTGCCGAGACAAAAATTGATTAAAGTAACAGATCGGGTGCGCCGATTGTATACCATATTACCGAGCTTAAGGTCCCGGTGCACAATGTTTCGCTTGTGTAGATTGCAAACAATTTTGACCACTTCGTAGAAAACACGAAGCGCTTCCCGTTCGGACAGTTTCTTTTCTTTGATGACGTGATGCTGAAGATTAACTAAATCCATGGATTTTGTACAGAAATCGTGTGGCCAAAGACAGTCTAATACCAGACAAATGCGTTTCTTGACGATTCCCGTGTAAGTCCACTGGCCGTTGACCTCCTTTTCTTCTTTTGCTTCATCTTTGAACAGTCCGTAGTGATGGTAAACACCGTTCATATCATGCAATAGTGACAAAAGTGAATATTCTGTGTGTAATAACATCTTTCCCTGTCTGTCGTCTTGTGTCTCATTGAACCAGTTCTCGAGTGTCAAGATTTTAACGGTAAAAAAGCGATCGGTTTGTGGATCGTCGGCACGACGGGCCAGACACTGGACAATACTCCGAACCGGACTGTTGCCCAAACGCATACCTATTAACAATTTATTTATTTTTTTAAAAAACATTATACAAATGGGATCAATTGCAGTGATAGTGATTGTCTTTAAAAATGACAACAATTGACAACAAACACATACCCAACACGTATTGTCCGACCCGTCGTAGACTCCTATCGTTGATAACAACGTGATTGCAATCGTTGGCCATCGAGTCGAACGAACGCTTCATTTGTTTCCAATATCTTCAGCGACGATGTCATCAAAAAATTAGCTGCAAATCAATCAAAACAACAATAAACACATCGATTGCATAAACAAAGCAATTGTTTACACAAACAATTACGCGAAAAACTTGAATATCATAAATAGTACCAAACAAACGATATGTGCAAAGCTGTGTGTTTGGCAATAGAAATATTTAGCGTAGATTTGGACCTTTTATTTGTTTTAAAAAATTTAAAAAACATTTATAATACTGTTTTGCAAAAGCAGCAAAAAAAAGTTTTGTTTTTTGAAAAATGAAAAACAAGTTTTCGCAAAGTTTGCCATCAATTAGTGTCAACAGAAAACAACTGCTCTGAAGACCTATTTTTGGATCAGTAGTTTGATCTCTGATGACCTTTGGACCACTTATTACACATCACTGGCAATGGATGTATGTCTTTGTTGTCCGCCATCAGTAAGTGACGTGACGTTTGTGTAGCGAAAGGTCTCTTTAAAAAAAAAGTTTTGGTCAAAGTCTTCGTCTGATTTCTAAGAAAAAAGAGGTCTTTAAAGAAGTTGTTTAGTTGTTGTTATCGACAATCAATTGGCCATAAGTTTCAGTGTTTTTAGTGTTTTCTTCTTCTTTTTTATTGTTATTATCACATGATATAAGAAGAAAATAAAATTTAAAAAAAAACTTTAGATATGAAGACCAAATACAGTGATTTAATAGCAACCACTCGCCAGGCATTTGCTTCGGGTGTGACCAGAGATATAGAGTTTCGTAAATGTCAACTGAAAGCATTGTACCGATTTCTGGTGGACAACGAGTCGCTGATCGTATCGGCGCTCAATGAAGACCTTAGAAAGCCGTCGTTTGAGACCCGAATGGCCGAAATTGATTTCTGTCTGAACGATATTCTCGGACAGTTGTTTAATATCGACAAATATGTGTCCCGCAAAACTGTACCAAAAACGCTGGTCACTATTGCCGACAATCCATTTATTTTGCCCGAACCCTACGGACTCGTATTGATTATCGGCGCCTGGAATTACCCGATTCAGGTGACACTCAGTCCACTTATCGGTGCCATTGCTGCTGGTATTTGTCAATAGTTTTACCGATTATTGCATTAAAGTTTAACATAAAATACTTTTGACAGGAAATGTTGTATTCGTTAAGCCGTCAGAGTTGTCACCGATGACCGCAAAACTCTTTCACGAATTGTTGCCGAAATATCTGGACAACCGGTGTTTTCACATAGTTTTGGGCGATGCCGAAGATACCAAACAACTCTTGACAGAACAGTTTGACTACATATTCTTTACGGGCAGCAACCGTGTCGGCCGTATTGTTCATCAGTCGGCTGCACAACATTTGACACCCGCGACTCTAGAGTTAGGCGGGAAGAGTCCGCTATATATTGACGACTCGTTGCCAGATATGGAGATGGGTTGGCGGCGTATACTATGGGCTAAAATGATAAACGCTGGTCAAACTTGTGTGGCGCCCGACTATATACTATGTACAGCCAGTGTTCAGAAGACGCTGATACCAATTGCCACTAAAATATTGAAACAATTTTTTGGTGATAATCCTAAAGAAAGTCCTGATTTTGGCCGTATTGTTAGTGATCGACATTTTGAAAGGTTAGAAAAACTGTTGAGCACTTCGGGAAAAGCAGTAATTGGTGGTGACATAGATCTCACCGATCGTTATATATCTCCGACCATATTGTTTGACGTCGAGCCAACTGATTCTATAATGCAAGAAGAAATTTTTGGTCCTATATTACCAGTTATTGTGGTCAAGGATGTCACAGAAGCCATAGATTTTGTGAATAAACGCGAAAAACCATTAACTTTATATATATTTTCGACTCAACAGCAAGTGATCGACAAGTTTCTTAAAGAGACGTCCAGCGGATCCATTTGTGTCAACGACGCTATGATTCAATTGACAATAGACTCACTACCCTTTGGCGGTGTCGGCAACAGTGGTATCGGTGCATATCATGGGATGTACTCATTTGAGACATTTTCGCATCAAAAATCAGGTGATATTACCGGATCTATTATTTTAAATAAATTATCATTTAATCTTATAGTTAGTAATATTATAATATTTTTCGTTGTTGTAAATCCATTTCAGTGTTGATCCGTGGTTTCAATCCATTCCTCGAATGGGTCGGTTCTAAGCGATACCCACCCTATAGTGATAACCGATTGAAACGATTGTTGCGTTTGTTACGTAAGCGAAGGTCTATTATACCCGAAAACATTATGTATTACATTGTATTCATATTGGGATTTATCACATGCTTTCTGTACAATCAATTTGAATGATTTTAAGATTTAGATTATAATGTAATATATACCGTAATTATTTGAATTAATCAAAAATTTATTTTGTTATAATCAATAACTTTGTCAATTTATTACCGGTAACTATCAATATATTTAAGTATTGTATATATAAAATAAGTCATTTACAAGATTATGTTGAATGCAAATCCATACAAAAACAAAACGGTTTGAGTTGTCTTTGACGGACACAATGCGATTGATTTCCATATTTGTTGATCCGATTGATCTCTCCCTTAACAGTCCAGTCGGGTGTGTAAACCGTACGGATGAGTTGTCCGCGAAATATAGCGCCCGAAGGTTCAGCTAAAACGGTTATTTCTATACGACTTTCGAAACCACGCGGTTTGGCCGTTGAACTACTCGGAAGTATAATCTGTTGTAAAATAAACATTTTCAATGATAAGTCTTCACACTAGAAATAAGACACTGAGTTAATACTTCAGCTGAAATCGTTGATTTCAAGTAAACTGTTTGGCATTTGAGTGGAGGCACTAAACCATTGATTTGTTTGATCAGAGCTACGGATGCAGTCTTCACGATCGGCTCAGTTATGTTCAATAGTTTACGTTTATTGCAAACGCAATAGTTTTCGGGTATCAATGCATTGTCACACGTCCTCCAATCGGGTATTGATTGTCTCCACGGACTGTATGATCGGATTGTGGACAATGGTTGGTGAGATGATTGTATGAATGATTCGTGTGTTTTATATCTTTCTGTATATACCAACAAAAAAACTTTATTTCCAAACAAATATAGTGTAATAATACTTACGAAATACGATATCTGTTAGCATTTCATACAAGTCTAACCAAGTAATCAATTTCTCACTATTCGTCTCCAATGTATTTAACAAATGTGGATATTTTTCAACCATACGGTCCGGTAATCTAACAGCAAATAATGGCATCCTTTCCTCAATTCGGCCAATCACTGTCTGCAATACCGGTCCAAATCGGTTGCCGTGATCTCCCTATTAATTAACGATAATAAAAATAAATATAAAAATCAACAATTTTAAAAATTAATAAATTATTTAAAAATTTTATACCATTAATATAAATATTGTATTATTCAATTGATCTCTTATTTGTTCAATAAATTGTGAAACATGTGAATCAATGAGTTGTACTCTATTGAAATCATTATGTGTGACTTCGATGTAAAAATTAAATGCAAAATATGGATAATGTTTTGCATGACATTCATGAATGAAATGTTTGATTTGTTGAAAAAATATATCAATTTTGGGAAACCGATTCATATAACAGTTGCTTAAATCAAATGGTATTAAACCCAATAGTATTTTCGAGACATCACGGAATAGGTGTATCCAAAAGGGTCGCGGATACCAATCGGTCGGTTGGCTGACAAAGCCGTGAGACTCGTAGTTAAATAGTGTGAAAGACGGAAAGTCCTCTATTAGGGCTGTCTTATAACCGGCATTATGAAAGTCCTTCCATATGAATGGCCAGTCATCGTATGGACCAAAGTCTTCGTTTTGTAACTCATTCTTCCAAACTCTTTTGCCGGTTAGTAAGGGAACCATATTTGGAAACGAGTTGTCCGCCAATTTGGTCAATCCTTTCATGTAAACGATATGATTCAATCTTTCCAGTGATTGTCGAGTTTGGGTCATAAATCGGAGATAATTTATGTGAGAAAGAGATTCAATCACTAGTATGAGAACCGATGGCTTATCGACATTATCGTCCGTTTTGACTCTCATCGATGGCTTTGATTTTATTTCGTACCAAAAGTGAGTGTTTTCGTAGATCTTCCGCGAGAACAGATCACGACATTCAACCCAAACAAAGTTATTGTCAGCCATCGGAATGCCTGTCTTGGGATTCAATTCCTGAATATTCTTCTTGTAATCCAATTCATTGTCGTTGCCTTCGCGACGACCGAAGAACTGATAGTTACACTTAAACTGTCCGTACGCTTGCCTTAGAGTACCGGTGCTGTCGATGTACGTCAAATTGGTTGTCGGGTCGCTTTGATGCCGACATTCAATGTGTTTCGGCAAAATTGAGATATATTTAGATACACTTTCGTCAAATGGATTAACATTAAGAGGCAAATGGCAAACATTGCCGGCTCCGTCATATAGGGAACCACCTAATTGTATGTAATTTTCTTTAAAGAATATTCTCTCATCTCGATTATCAAAATAGATAAACAATGACACGAGTATTATGACTATCACTGACAAGATCTTTACAAATTTTACTCTAAATCTTGACATTATTATGTTTTTTTTGTTGAAAAATAAATTAATAAATTAACAATTATGATTATATGAGTTGAAAACAATTAAATGATAAATGTATAAATTTAATTAGTAATAAACTATTTTATATGAACTTATTTGGCATTAAAAACTCTCGATTGTTTATATCAGAAATTCCCAAATTGATAGTTAAATTTATTTTTGGGGTTATCCTACTAACTAGTACAATTTATATTTTATAAAATTATTATCAACTATTTTTTTTAAATCTAAGTAAATATTTGCTTGATTAATATTAGAGGTCGTATATTAAATAGATTATATCTGGGAATTTCTGATTTATACAATAATTTATAATCAATTCAAACTCAAAATAAAAATATCAATAACAAAAATTCTTGATATTTAAAAAAAAAATCACAATTGTTTTATATAAGATATTTAAAAACAGAATTAAGTTTTATTACACATACTGTATATTTACAGTATATATACAACAATAAATATTTAGTTAAATTATACTACCATAATTATTATTATAATTATAATAATACTAAATATATATGTTATAATTATATATTAAATTATTTATTTTAACGGAATGACAATATTATTTTTTTGTGTGTAGTTTACTTGATATATATATTTGACAAATAAAACAAAACAAAAATGCAATATTTGGTATTTTTATGACTATTAAATAAAACACTGTTTTATCTCAAAAATTAATTTACTAAATGATATTATAATATTATTATTATTATTGTAAATACAAATTTCATTACAATTACTACTGTATAATGTGTTCAAAAAATAAATGTAATCATTATTCTTAAGCTAACATTTAAAACAAATCACTTAACGGTAAAAAAGTTTATGCCTAAGAATAATAATATGTTATTAAATAATTATTGCTTTTATTGGTTTCAATATTATTATATAATTAAGTAAATAAAAACTATATGTAAAATATTAGTATAGGTTATACTGTATATAATTAAATTATTAATAAGAAATTACTTTTGGCTTGAATTTATTGATTATCCTTTAATTATTATCTGAGTATACATTTTAAAAAATTTGAAGACTAATTGCAATAATACTAATTACAGAATATATATATATATATATATATATATATATATATATATATATATATATATATATATATATAATATTCTGTGTATAGTATTGTATAGTTTAGGAGATTTACTAAAATTATATATAAATAGTTTGCATATATCGTATTGGATTTATAAATATAAATATATATATGGAATTAATCTTGTTCATTTAGGGTATTTAATAACTATGATATTTAGTGATTATTTTATTTATTTATTATTTTATTTTTTGAACACAATATTGATCCTAAAAGTTAATTTTAGATATAATAATTATTTATGACATTATACACAAAATGCATATAAAAAATGCTTATTATTATATTTTTAGAAATTTTATAATTTAAATATAATAAAACAAACAAAAATCAATAAATAAAACAATAAAAAAAGTAATAAAATTGAGATCTATTATTATAAATAATTAATTACAATTTAATGACAAGTATATATATGTTTTTAATTAAAACTATGTCAATAATCTAAACTATTAAAAAAATTTAAAAAAATATTTTTTTTTTTAATTTGACTGTGCGTTACTTAAACTAGTTAATTGTGGGATAAATTTTTACAAGTTTTATTTTTTGGTTAAGCATTTTAGTTTAATTTCTAATAATTAAAAGACTAGGTGTACAGTGATATATCATATAATAATAATTTTATAATATGTTTTACAATTTAGAAATAATAATAATAATAATAACTTCCCATTAATTTATTTATTAATTTGTTTTCGCATATTATTTGTCCATAATATGTATTATTATTATTAACACATCAAACATGTTGTATAATAATCATAACTAAATCATATATTCAAACAAATTGATCGCACAATTGATCACTGGGTTTACAATTAAAAAGCAACAAAAAAATACAATAAATTTAGTTTTAAAAAACAATTTTTAAAAAAATATTAATAATAATAATAATAATACACATTATTTATTAAAATATAAAAAACAAAAAAAACATGTAAATTTAGTGTCAAATTAATTTAAAATATATCTTGATAATATTTTATGACAATTATTTATTTATTTTTTAATTAAAAACTCGGCAAAAAATACAGTATAGCAATAATAACAATAAAATGAACTAGCTAAAAAATATAATTGACATAAATTTACAGTATTAATATACAAACAATTAATTGACAGTTCATATAACTATTATTTTTTATATGTAAAAATACCAATATTTTTGTACCCCATTTCAAGCCACATAACTATACGTATATTGATTTCCCCCACAAAAACAAATATTACCGGTAAATATTAAATACATTGTAATTGATAAATAGTAACGTTGTTTATGAAAAGTATTTGAAAACCAAACACTGTATGTCAGCACTGATGATATGATTGACAAAAAAAAACTGTTGGATTATATACGAAACCAAAACAATAGTAGACGCACCACAAGCACATAGATATATCATAAATTACACTTAATATATACATACAAATAAAATAGTGTGTATAATAACTATGTAACAAAGTCTATGCTTTGTAAAAACACCGCCGCTAAGCATTAAACACTAATATTGCGCACATATACATACACTACTGTATTAGTGGGCGGCCATTAATGTTTTGGTTTTAAATATAATCAAAAAGTTTTTTAAAAAACACATTATTTAATACACAGAGTGTGAGCACATGTTTGCGTCGATTATTACAACAATATATATATATTTCATTACATTTGCAATCAAAACGACATTTAAACGCAAAAACATCGATAAGTTTTTTGTTTGATTTTTATTATTAAATTACTTATTGTTTGATCGGTTGTGTCTATTGGCCACTACTCTCTCTCTGACCAACAATTATGGCATTTCGGGTACAATTTGAGGGTAACAACGAAGTGGGAGTCTTCGCCAAATTGACCAATTCGTACGCATTGGTGGCCATCGGCGGATCGGAAAACTTTTATTCGGTCTTCGAGAACGAACTGAGCGAAGCCGTACCGGTCATACACGCGTCTATAGCCGGCTGTCGTATTGTCGGCCGCATGACTGTTGGCAATCGACACGGCCTACTTGTGCCGAGCACTACCACCGACCAGGAGCTGCAACATTTGCGCAATTCGTTGCCCGATACTGTCCGTATTGAACGGATAGAGGAACGGTTGAGTGCATTGGGTAATGTAGTGGCCGCTAATGATTACGTGGCTTTAGTCCACCCGGACTTGGATCGTGAAACCGAAGAGATCATTGTCGACACATTGAAAGTTGAAGTGTTTCGACAGACAATCGCCAATCAAGTTCTGGTCGGCTCCTACTGTGCTCTCACTAATCAGGGTATGTGTGGTCAACACATCCGATATATTTGAAACAGATATTCCTTTAATTTACATTACATTAACTTTGTCTGTATTTTATCCAATCTTTAGGTGGTTTACTTCATCCACGCATTGCTGTCGAAGCCCAGAACGAGTTGTCATCACTTCTTCAGATACCGTTGATCGCCGGAACCGTCAACAGAGGCAGCGAAGTGATCGGATCCGGTTTGGTTGTCAATGATTGGTCAGCTTTCTGTGGATTCGATACGACATCCACCGAAATATCTGTGATTGAGAACATATTCCGGTTGAATGAAGCCGTCGGTCCCAATGCCATACAGTCATCGATGAGACAATCGCTTATCGAAAGTATGACCTAAAAGTTTAATGCATTTATTACATTACCTGTAAATGTCATTAATTATTTGATTATTGTTTTAATCATTATTTTAATAATTGTATAATTCATTAATTTTTCTTTGAAACAAAAAGTTAATGTATTTTTTAAAAAAAGAAAACAATGAATATAATGTATAAACTTAATATATTGTTTATAAATATTGGTAACAAATTATTTTTTATCAATAATCCATATACTGGTACTTTGATATAATTATGGTAAATGTTATATTAATTTTTTTATATTTAACAATATCTATAATACAATTTACAAATTAAATTAAAAAAGCATCGCATTATATAATTGATTATTACGGTATACATATAATTTATATTACCGGTTCATTTACTGATAAACTAACTATCATTATTAACTACCTGTGCATTGAGTGCATCATCGATAGGTACATCATGTTTGGTCTCGTGTGTCTTCATATTACACAACTGGTTGAACGCCTTACCACAGAAACGACATTTAAACGGTTTGTCTCCCGTATGGACCAGGGTTTTAAGGAAATAAATGCCTGCCCTGGCAATGCCCAAATAGATGCCATAAATGCCTGGCATTTTGGGCATCTATTTTTATTTCCTGCCAATTTAAATTGCTAAAAAGCAACTTTATTTATAAAAATAATAATGTATATAATAAATAATGTTTTTAGCGTGTTAATTAAATTTACAATTAATATACTTATCTCTAATGATATTATCTTTTAATTAGTTATACAAAACAAAAATACAATCAAATAGTTAATAATATAAAATTAAAATAATAGGTGTCACCAACTGAAAATAGATGCCCAGGGCATGGCAGAGGCAGGGCAGGCATTTGGCAAAATTGGCATCTATTGTTTATGCCTGCCACATTTAAAACCCTGATCATACCTGTATTTTAATATAAAAACTATCTCAATACAAGTTAAACCAAAACAATAATGGCTGCCACACAATAACAACCTATAACACAGTAGGCTATGTATATGCGGGCAATATTATTACATATAATGCTTAGGGCGGAGTTTATACAAAATATATTATGTATATTTGTATATTTACTGTATTATACAGTCTTTATATATATTTAAAAAGTGTAATCATTGTGTTTGTGGTGCCTCTGGTATTGTTTTGGTTTAAGTTGTATTGAGAGTTATATTTATAGACATTTCAATAATAAAGCGCCAATAGTTGTATTATTAATAATACTATTGTTTAGTACTATTTGATTGAATCGCAAATAAATTGTGAAAATTATTGTTGTTGTCATTTTGGACACTATTTTTTGTGTAAATTATTTTTGTTTTTTAAATAATTTATTTCATTATCATATCATAGGATATATGATATGATATATCAATATATTGATTAACTGATCCTTCAATTTGTTTGTCTTTTCATTACAATTGTGTTTTTGTTGATCACAGCAGACATTACCAAACAATTTCGTTTAAACATCAAAACCAGTGATGAGTCGATTAACGGCAATCACTGTTATCGGTATTTTGGTCATTGATTTCTCGTATTTGTTGGCGATATCGACAGCCGTTGCCGATAACAATGGCCTTTCGTGTGATAATATGAGTGGTTACGACTTATCGACAATCAATGAGTATATGACATAAATTGAGTGAAAATTATTATTATTATTGAAATAATTGTTTGACTTTTTTTTAATATGATTTACAGGAAAACATATAAATATATTCATAACTACACGAATACGTCTACTAATAAAACCGATAGTTTTGACGTTTTAATTAACATTTGTCGAGTGTTTGACACCAAAGATAAGACACCCGAAGTCTGTTTTGGCCGACAAATCTGTGGCCACAAGACCACTGATAAGACACCAATTGGTAATGAATTTATAGATATATATGATATAGTTTTAGTAATAATAACTTTTTTGTGATTTGAATATTAGGCTATCGATTGAAGTCCGCAGACTTTGTTCCCGACAACGGATCGCATAAAGAGTATATCAAAGTTGTTTACGACGGATCAGAGTGTGATATTCATCGGATACTTAACTATTCAATGACTATCATCTTCTACTGTGGAGAAGATTCGGTTTGTGATAAATGTCATTAATTTTTAATAATTATAAAAATATATTTTGTATTTTTTAGCCGAATTTAAACCTCGAAATGTCCACTACTTGTGGTATTCAATTAAATTACACCACAAAGTCTGTGTGTAAGACTAGTACTAATAACTCAATGCCATCATTAGCGCCGATAGTCAATTGTTTTTGGGAAAATCACACACATTATATAGATTTTAACCAATTGGTCAAAAAGTCAAATAACTATAAAATTTATAGACTTTCGACGACAACTAGTTATCTCTATATTTATTATATAAATGTTTGCCGACCTTTGAATCAGATTTTTGAACCGTTCAGTGACTCGAGTATAAACAATTGCGGACCAAATGCTGCCATTTGTCAGGTGAACAGTGATACAAATGATAGTGCTTTGAATTTAGGCGAACCAACAAGTGGTCCGATTCGGTTGTTTGACGAAAGTCTTAATTTATTTTATGAAAATGGGAGTCCGTGTCCGGTCAGACCACATGAAAAGTTGCGAACTCGCATAAAGTTTGTATGCGATCCGTTGGCCGGCATTGAGAATATGATTGTCAACGAACCGGGAAGTGAGACAATGGATGCCGAAGATTGCGCCTATTTTATCGAATGGCGTACTTCTGCCGTTTGTAACTATATTGAACGCACAAAAGGTCAACAATCTGGTGATCACACAAATCTGGATGTATTGGATCAAAGGGATGAACTCATCTATAAGGATGGCTTTCTGGAGGACAATCGACTCGATGCATACATTAATGTATCGGCACTAATGGGAACTACTTTTAATGTGAATGAATTCAGAGAATTGGATAATAATAAGACAGACAATTATACTTATGTCATAAATCTGAGTAAACCCGAACTGTCCACTGACTACCAGTGCTCTGAAGCGGGTGTGTGTCAGACAAAAGGCGACTTTAGACGAGATTTAGGTAGTGTTAAGACAATAAAGTATTATCTAAGAGGACATGAACTTCAAATGGCATTGCAGTCCAAAGGAGGCACTCGAGGAAAATGTGGCAAAAATGCCAACAAAAACGTGACCACAATTTTCCGATTGCATTGTTCCTCATCGGCCGGTGTCGGCGAACCAGAATTTATGTACGAAAGCAACGATTGTGACTATGTTTTCAATTGGGAGACATCGATGGTTTGCCCAATAAATTTCATCAAACAAGAAGAATATATTGAATATATTACCGAACGTAACAAATCCCAGGAACGGATGGAAAAGGAAGAGTTGGATCATTTAGCTAAGTCTACTGAAGACAATCAACAATCTGGTGGTCACACAAATCTGTGGATCGGTATCATAATAGTTATATGTATTTTGGGTATTATTTGTGCCCTATTGTTATACAAACCTAACATCAGGTAAACCCTAATTAATGAATGTTTTTTATATTGTAACTAATATTGTTGTAATTTAATTTATTTAGACAATCTGTTTTTGGTTTATTTAGGTCAAGACAAGTTAATAGGTATTTAATACATAATCAACAAAAATTATCATCATCATCTCATCAATAACTAACATTTAATTATTTTTAAAAAATTTAAACTAATTATTTTAATTATAATTATCATAAAGGTAAATTTCTTAATTAATTTTATCATATTATATAATGTTTTAACAATTTTAATATAACTTATTATTTTTATATTTTTTTAGATCTGATGATAGTTTGTCGTTAGATTTGATGACCACTTAAAATAATATTAAGAAAACAAATATCAATTGTATTTAATAATTATAGTGTTTTTGGTGTTTGGTTTTTATTTTCAGTTCAATACCTAATTTGATTTTTTATTAAAAAAAACTAAAGTCAAAGTTTCATTGCATTGTTTGTAATCTCCTGTAATCATAAAATCTTTCTGTTTTTCATAGTTTGTATTGATTTTTTTGCAAAAAAAAACAAAAACTATTTTCTGTTAATTAATTTCTATTGAATATTCTTTCAATTTATGTTTGAATTTGATTTTGATTTTTTTTGATTATTTACTTATAATTACTGATTTATTTTTTTCAAATCAAAAATTATTATTTTTACACATATTATTCACAACACACACACACTTGTGTCATATGTCTTGCATTTGTATTTATTTTAACAAATACTACGTGAAACTCGATTGTCGTATAGATATCTTTATAAACCGGCAAAACATATCCATTAATCCTCTACACAGTTGGCATCGCATGAAAAGGACAACAACAGCAACAAACCGAAAGCCGAAGTGGTTATCATCGACGGCGGCAACAATAGTCATCAATATTCAAACACAATTGCAGGACAGCCATCATCTCACGTGCCTTACTATAGCATTTACGACGACTCCGACGTTGATCTTCTCACTTGACTTCACATTACACACAAACACTTAATCCTTGACCTATGGTTTTGGCATTTTTTATATATTTTTGTTGATAATTATTGTGAAAATTATTTGTTATAATTGTATTTGAGTTAGTGATATGTGTGTAAAGTGTTGTCTAATTTATTGGTTACTATTGTAATATTTATTATATATATATATATATTGATATATAATTGCTATTTGTTTACTTATTAATTACTATTATATTATAGTTTTTTTCTAATTTAGTCATTAATTAAATATGTAAACAAATCTGTGATAAACAAGGAGTCGATTTGTTTTTTTGTGTGACTATAGCTGAGGATGTGATGATATTAATGATTTTTTTTTTGTGAGTGACGGTTGCGCTGCAATTGATAGTTTCGGTTTGGTTTTTATAATCACAAAAAATTATATATTAATCAAACTTCTAGTCCATTCCTAATAAACTATTATAATATATATATATATATGTATTGATAACCGGATCTCAGTTTTGCAGCTCAAACTTCATACCAAATATCATATGAAAAATTTGTTTATAATTAACAAGTATTTTGTTATATAATTTTTTTTAGTTATTACAAAATTGTTTAGTAATTAATTAAATTTTTTCACATTTATTTAATGATCTGTTATAATCAAAGAGTATTTTTAAATATTAATTTAAATAATTATAAAACTAATTTGTATTTCTGGTAAATTAATTAAAGTACATTACATTAATGTACTAATAATTATCTGTTTATATATAATAATAGAAAATAAATTGTATTTTGTTAGTTGTATTTGTTGCCAAAATTAATAATTCATATTCGATAATAAAATAAAAAATGTTATAATTTATTAATTAAATTTTTAAATAAAACAAATTTAGATATTATTAAATTGATTTTTTGGTTGATATTATTTTATTATCTATTTTTTAAATTGTTTATAACTTTTATACAGATATCATATGAATTAAAGAAAAATATTAATACAATAAACAACTATTTGTTTTCTTATTATTTTATAATTTATAAAATTTATTCAAACAATAAATCATTTTTTTGACTCAATTACTAATTTATTATTTTTTTAAATAACTTTAAATTTTACTAAAATAATTTTATAAAACATTATTTAAAATTTATTAAACAATAAATGTTTGTTATAAATTATAATGTAAAAATGCAGTTAAAAATAATACAAATCATTGCATAATGAAAACTAAAATTTTATTTGAATATTATTTATATAAAACTATTAAATTAAACGTTTTTACTTTGAATAAAATTATAAAAACAAGTATTACTTCTATAATAACTATTTAAGTATTTTGTTATATAATTTTTTTTAGTTATTACAAAATTGTTTAATAATTAATTAACATTTTTCACATTTATTTAATGATCTAATGATAAAACATTATTTAAAATTTATTAAACATTTTTACTTAGAATAAAATTATAAAAACAAGCATTACTTCTATAATAACTTTTAAATATTACTAATTTTATAAAACATTATTTAAAATTTATTAAATAAAAAAAGTAGTTATAAATTGTAATATAAAAATGCAGTTAAAAATAATACAATTCATAATATAATGAAAACAAGAATTATACTGTATTTCAATATTATTTATATAAAAATATTGAATTCAATACTTTTACTTTGAATAAAATTATAAAAAACAAACTTTGTTTACTAAAAAACAATTTTTATTATACTATTTTAAAATATTAAATTTTATTTTTATCACGAATTCCTGAAAGGAATACGTATATGCATTATATAAGTCGGTCTGTCGGTCTGTCTGTCCCACGAGGACATAGGTTCGAATCCACTATCAACTACAAATTTTTTTGAATTTTTTTTTGCTTTTTTTTTAAGTTTATTTTTTAGGAAAATAGTAGTTTATTTTGTAATACTGAATCAGTTGATACCCCCACATGACTATAGTTGTTTATTTTGTCATACTAAATCGTTTGATACCCTACATAACTATAGTTGATTTTATTTTATCATACTGAATTTAATTTTTAATTATGATTAGGAATTCGTTTGGAAATGCTTTCTACCGTTCTCAACTGGTTTTTGTTTGGGTTTATTGTATAAAAAATTGAAATGAATAAATTTAAATAAATCTTATAAATACTAAAAACAAGTATTACTTCGATAACAGTTAATATTTTGCTATACATTAAGTTAAGTCTGTGTTTAATTACAACTTGTTATAAAAAATGTCAATTAAATCATTATTTTTTTTAATTAATTTATATATATTGTATAATAACATTAACGCTAAAAGTGAATACTTTCAATGGAGAAATTTAATCACTAATGATAATTCAGTTTTATGTAATGAAAATAATACAAGAAATTATATAAATTTGAAGTTACCGTATATAATATATGACAAAAGCAATTGGATTGAGAATAATAAGTATGAACTTTCAGTAAATTATATTGGTATCTGTAAAAATAGTTCAATTGGTTTTAACATTGCTATTGTTTTAAACAAACAAATAATTCAATATTATGGTAGAAAAAATTTAATAACAATAATTGAATTCATTAAAATTATCAAATCTCCTATTATACAAATGACTGATCAAAATCAATTAACAAAATATGTACTTGATAAATCACATAAAATAATCATGTCATGTTTGTATTTAATGGATAATTACATGCAATATGAAATTGCATTGTATTATAAAAATACTATTAATTTCTATTGTCATGGACAAAATGTAAGTAATGTGTAAATTTACAGTATTTTATAATATTAACTTAAATATTATTTATTAAATTTAATAATTTACAGATAACAACAAATCGATTTAATATAGAATTGAATAATGGATTTATATATGATTTAAGAAATAAGTTGGCAATAAATTATACTTTAACTGACTTCAAAAATATTATGCCTTATATTGTGCTAAACATTACAAAATTTAATATTTTTGATGAAAGAATAATAAATAAGTCAAAACAAACTATTTTTGGATTTGGAAATATTAGTACATGTTTTGGTTATATTACTAATAAAGCGTTTAATATTGCGATTTTCAAATTGTATCAAAAGGGAAACATAAATCCTAATACTTTAGAGAAATTAAATTTATTAAAATACAACATTATTTGGATCCATACACAAGATATACCATTTGGTATTATGCAATCTATACGCAAAACATACAATGATTCGACATATATTGGTCTAAATAATCATAAAAATAAATCAGTTAAAATAATTAATTTTAAATCTATAATTAATTGTACAGATTTATCAAACATTCAAGAGCTTAATGTTCAATCAAAATCTGTTGGCGATTTTATTTTTAATAACTTATATAAGTTATTAATGCTTTAAATTTATGTTTATTAAAAAATATTTGATTTCTTGTTTTATAGTATAATATAATTTTTTTTTTCATTATGCAATGAATTGTATAATTTTAAACTACATTTTTACATTATAATTTTATAACAAACTTACTTTGTTTAATAAATTTTAAATAATGTTTATAAAATTATTCATATTTCAACTTTTTATTAAAATTTAGTTATTTAAAAAATAATAAATTAGCAATAGTATCAACAAAATTTGATTTCTTGTTAAATAAATTTTAAAAATTATAAAATAATAAAAAGAAAACAAATATCAATAGTATTTAATAAGTATACAATAGTACAAATCGGAAGTAGTTTATTGTATTAATATTTATCTTTAATTCATATGATATCAGTATAAAAGTTGTAAACAATTCAAACTCAAAATAAAAATATCAACAAAAATTGATATTTAAAAAAAAATCACAATTGTTTTATATAAGATATTTAAAAACAGAATTAAGTTTTATTACACATACTGTATATTTACAGTATATATACAACAATAAATATTTAGTTAAATTATACTACCATAATTATTATTATAATTATAATAATACTAAATATATATGTTATAATTATATATTAAATTATTTATTTTAACGGAATGACAATATTATTTTTTTGTGTGTAGTTTACTTGATATATATATTTGACAAATAAAACAAAACAAAAATGCAATATTTCGTATTTTTATGACTATTAAATAAAACACTGTTTTATCTCAAAAATTAATTTACTAAATGATATTATAATATTATTATTATTATTGTAAATACAAATTTTATTACAATTATCTCTAAAATTAATTTACTAAATGATACTAGATTGTCCCGCGCAACATGTATAGCTATGTAATTCTTTTACTAATTTTGAAATATTAATCATAAGTAAGTTGAATGTCTGCTTACAGAACTAATACACATTAATTCCTCTAAACTCTAAACCATAGATATAACATTGATTTGAATAAAAATTGAAAATATAACAATACATTTTTAGATTTGCATTAAAATATAGTTGTTAGGGAAAGGTGACAGACAGAAAGACAGACTATTATCTTAACAAAAACTTTGAGTACCAAAACCTGGATAGATTTAAAATAGTGAAAACAAGTTATATATAATTTTCAATATTAGTTATAATTATTGATAATACATAGCAAAAATACATACAAGGAAATAAATGCAAAAATTATAGCAACTATTTAATATTTATAAAATATTTTATAAAAATTCAATGTCATTTTTAAGTACATTTTTAAATATTAATAGATACTAGTTCTTCCCGCTTAACATGTAAAGTCATCCATTCTCTTAATAATTTATAAATATTCATAAGAAATTTGAATGACTGCCAAACTTGTTTCTAATCCAACAGAAGCATAATACTTATAAACAGAATGCATTAATAATGAGACCTATCTATATTCAGTTCTCAAACTAACTAACTACACAGATAAAACTGTTAATATCTCTAAAACCCTTTGACCAATTTTTATTTTATTTGTGTTAAATGATAGCTTGACTCCCTCGATTTATTAAACATTTAATAATGGCTGTGATTGATGCCAACGGAGGCAATACTTGATATTAATATTGTTTTTACAAAATTAATTGCTTTATTTTGTTAATAATATTTAAAGTTTTGATTTCATGAAAATACTTTTTGTACATAACTTTTTTTACCATTTCTTACTTCTTATGATTTTTTATAGATAATATGATAATTAATTCAATTTTATTTATTGACTTATAAACATTGAAAAGTGTTCTTTCATTTGATATCAAATTTGTTTAATTAAGTTAGAAAATAAAAAAGTTATTAAAGTTTAAAATTAATATCAATATTTTTGCGACACGAAATTAGATTATGTTTTTAGTCTAGCTATAAAATTCAGTTTAGGCTATCCAGTAAACTTCTCTACAAAACTTTTGCGATACTAAAAATGTTTGTATTTTGCTATTAAGTAGTATCCCTATTCAAAACTAATGAACCCCTAAAATCTACCTGAGCTTAGTAAACATTTAAAATTTCCCATAGAAATAACATTGCTTTCAATATTAAAAAATTTTGCATTTGAAAAAATTTTACAAAAATTTATCAGCTAGCTAACCTCCCGGTGCCCTGGGACTCATAAAATATAGCATATAGCAAAATGTAATTACACAGTACAGGCCTACCTGTCCATAAAACCTACATGAGCTCAGTAAACATTTAAAATTTTATAACATTACTTTGAATAAAAATTGAAAATTTAACAAGACATTTTTAGATTTGAATTAAAATATGGTTGTTGGGGAAAGGTGTCATACAGACAGACAGAAAGACTATTATCTTAAAGTGTTATCTTGATATATTATGGGTAACACTGATAAATGCATATAAAAAATGCTTATTATATTTTTATAAATTTTATAATTTAAATATAATACCCTTTCGGGCCCTTAAGGCCTTTTCGGGACGGGTATGTTTACGGGACGTTTCATACTTATTCTTTATGTTCCCGTAGATATAGAAATTTTAATGCATATTTATTATTCTTTTTTTTATGCTTTATTCAAATCTATAATTAAAAAAATATTTTCTAAAATTTTCTTACTTTTGCCGCCATTTTTTTTTTAAATATGTTGATATATTATATCATATTTTTGATGCTGTTTACAATTCAAAACGATAAAATTTTTACCTAATTTTTTTAACTTTGGCCGCCATTTTCTCTATGTTTCCGAAGAGATATCAAAATTTTAATGTAACTTTTAAATACATTATTAGTAGTCCTCTAACCGAATCTGAAGTCAGAATTTCAAAATTCGCAAAATAATATGCGACACACACAAAGACAGACAGAATCAAAAAGCCATTATAGATTTCAGTAAACAAAACTTTTCAAGTTTTTTTTGAAAATTTTCTTTTGTACAGTAAATGTTAAGTTGAGTTTTTCTTTGAAACAAAAAGTTAATGTATTTTTAAAAAAAAGAAAACAATGAATATAATGTATAAACTTAATATATTGTTTATAAATATTGGTAACAAATTATTTTTTATCAATAATCCATATACTGGTACTTTGATATAATTATGGTAAATGTTATATTAATTTTTTTATATTTAACAATATCTATAATACAATTTACAAATTAAATTAAAAAAGCATCGCATTATATAATTGATTATTACGGTATACATATAATTTATATTACCGGTTCATTTACTGATAAACTAACTATCATTATTAACTACCTGTGCATTGAGTGCATCATCGATAGGTACATCATGTTTGGTCTCGTGTGTCTTCATATTACACAACTGGTTGAACGCCTTACCACAGAAACGACATTTAAACGGTTTGTCTCCCGTATGGATCAAATAATGTCGCTTTAGCTGTTGATTTTGGACAAATTTTCGGCCACATTCTGGCCAATTGCATACATAACGACGTTCCTCGTGTATCATCATATGACTGCACACACAATTGATTAATGAAATCAAATTATTATTAGAATAACTTAAGATTTAGTTTAGAAAGTAGTATACCGTACATACCGTCCGAGTTTCTCCTTCGATGTCAGTATTTTGTCACATCCCGGCCAAAGACACTTATGTATGGCTTCGATCAGTTTGTGGGCTCTGCTCTTATGTTTCGCCAAATGTTTGACTAATTAATTGCAGATTTTTATATGAATTTTTTTCAGATTTTTATTAAAACAATTATTTGGTCACACCTTTGGCACCGCATTGTGGACAGTCGTAAACGGGTACTTTGTTTTCATGTTTCAACATATGATACTTGAGATGTTCATTGGTGTAGAAGCGTTCTTCACAGGCCGGCCAACAGCACTGGTAGTCTCGACGACCCATATGTCGCTTCTTGTGGACTGAAATAACAGAATACCGATTACTTATATACCCTATAATATCGTCCAATCAATCAAAAAAGATAACCGATATCTTACTAATTAATGCCGTTTTCTGTTTGCTTTTGAACTGACAGTCCTCCCAATCGCACAAATGATAGGCCACTCCTTCGATCAGTGTTATGGACGGATCTTTCGGTTTGATTCTACACTTCTTTCGGTGATAGAAGAGGTTTCGGTCGCCGGCAAAGGCTTTTTCGCACAAATTGCACACAAATGGCTTAACTTTCAGATGAACTTTGTTGATATGTGTGGCTACAAGCCATCGATGACTATATTGTTTGCCACAATAGTCGCAATTGAATTGGTTTTTGCCTAAAGATAAGAATAAAAATATCAACTTATGGATCAAATTATATATTTTAATAGTTTGATCAAAAAATAATACCAATTTTTATGCCAACAGTTTTATCGTCGAACATATTGTCCATTTCGTGTCGATTGATATCATCTGTCGGCTTGTAGTCCCAGTCTTTAGATTCGTCAGATTGATTGTCATCACCGGTAGTGTTATTTAACTGTCGATTTCTATCACTGTTTATAATCATATTGTCATCAATTAATATATCTGTTGTCAAATCAAATGATTGGTCATCAAAAACACTGGTAAATAGTCGATCAAAATTACTGTCCTCTTGTTTGCCCTTATATTGATGTAACAATTGTTTGTCAATTGTTTCCCGATTTGATAATATCTTGAATTTCTTGGCTGCAGAAGAATAACTACCATCACTTGTTTTGGCACAAACTTTGACCAGTTTTTGTTCAACGGTACAGATATGGAACCTATATTTGGCCACCTTTTCGGTGAATTGGAGGTTTTGTTGGCACTGTTGACAACAACGAAGACAATTGTCTTCCAAATAATCCATCAATTGATTCATGATTTTCATCAGCTGTTTGCTGGCCTTTAGTTCAATCAATAATCGGTTGTTTTCGGCCAACAATTCATGCATTAAATCATTTGTTTCCAAAGCAAAGAATTGTTTCTTATTCTTCGGTTTGTTTGTTGATGTCTTCATTGTTGTTGTTGTTGTTGTTGTCGATGATAATCAACAATCAATTTATAGTATTAAACAATCAAAACAAATGTTTTGTAAACATTTTAAACACAAACACGTCATTGATATCAATGTTATGTTATACTGTATTTAACTATTTGTTTGAAAATTTTTTGCGCAAATTTTTATTATACATAACTAGAGTTCGATAACTATTAATATAAATATGATAAAACTTTTGTAAAATATTAATGTTTTGATACTAATTGATATTTATTATAATATTTCCATTTCTAACAATCAAGAGAAAAAAATAAAACTTTTTTCATATTTTCCGGGAAAATTGTAGGGATATTTTAGGGAACTATATATTTCACTAATATGTTGATCGAACCCTAACTATAGTACATATAATATTAATTTTTTGTTTATAGATGGAGTTATAAATAATTATATTTATAGACATTTCAATAATAAAGCGCCAATAGTTGTCATATTATTATTATATACTGTATTGCAATACCAATAAATTTCAGTATCAAATACAGTATTATTATTATAAGTTAATTGAGAAAAAGTGTAAACTCATGATTGAAGTCTAATATATGATATTAAAGTAATATTAATGGCAAACAAATGAATCATTATTTTTGTTGTTATAAATAATTATTAATAAATTTATAGTAATTTCATAATAATTCGTAGTATTATTAATAATACTATTGTTTAGTCTATTTGATTGAATCGCAAATAAATTGTGAAAATTTTTGTTGTTGTCATTTTGAAAGCTATTTTTTGTGTAAATTATTTTGTTTTTTTGAAATATGATATCAATATATTGATTAACTGATCACTTAATTTGTTTGTCTTTTCATTACAATTGTGTTTTTGTTGATCACAGCAGACATTAGCAAACAATTTGGTTTAAACATCAAAACCAGTGATGAGTCGATTAATAGTATTAATAGCTATCATTTTGATCACTCATTTGTCGTATCTGTTGGCCATATCGACAGTCGTCTCCGATAGCAATGGCCTTTCGTGTCATAACATGAGTGGTTACGACTTGTCCACAATTAATGAGTATATGACATGAATTGAGTGAAAATTATTATTATTGAGATAATTGTTTGACTTTTTTTTAATTTGATTTACAGGAAAACATATAAATATATTCATAACTACACGAATACGTCTACTAATAAAACCGATAGTTTTGACGTTTTAATTAACATTTGCCGAGTGTTTGACACCAAAGATAAGACACCCGAAGTCTGTTTTGGCCGACAAATCTGTGGCCACAAGACCACTGATAAGACACCAATTGGTAATGAATTTATAGATATATATGATATAGTTTTAGTAATAATAACTTTTTTGTGATTTGAATATAAGGCTATCGATTGAAGTCCGCAGACTTTGTTCCCGACAACGGATCGCACAAAGAGTATATAAAAGTTGTTTACGACGGATCAGAGTGTGATATTCATCGGATACTTAACTATTCAATGACTATCATCTTCTACTGTGGAGAAGATTCGGTTTGTGATAAATGTCATTAATTTTTAATAATTATAAAAATATATTTTGTATTTTTTAGCCCAATTTCAATCACGAAATTTCCACTACTTGTGGTATAGAATTAAATTATACCACAAAGTCTGTCTGCAAGACTACTACTCATAACTCAATAACTACAACAACATCAAAGCCGACAGTCAATTGTTTTTGGGGCAATAATACCCATTTTATTGATCTAAAACAATTGGTTAAAAAATCAAATAATTATCAAATTTATTATATCTCGCCGACAACAAATGATTTTAGTATATTTTATATAAATGTTTGCCGACCTTTGAATCCGATTATCTATTCGTTCAGTGAGTCAGGTATTAATAATTGTGTACCAAATTCTGCCATTTGTCGGGTAAATATCGATTCAAATGATAGCGGAGTAAGTTTAGGACAACCGACGAGTGGTCTAATTCGTCTGTTTGATGACAGTTTGAATTTATTTTATGAAAATGGCAGTCCGTGTCCGGCCAGACCTCAAGAAAATCTGCGGACTCGCATAAAGTTTGTATGCGATCCGTTAGCCGACATTGAAAATATAACTGTCACCGAACCGGGAAGTGAGACAATGGATGCCGAAGATTGCGCTTATTTTATCGAATGGCGTACTTCTGCCGTTTGCGACTATATTGAACCGACAAAACTCGAAAACAATTCGTGTTATTTCACGGATCAGAGGACAGGATTATCTGTTGATTTAACATCACTTAAGAAGAAGTGGAATAATCCGTATCGCATACCGATGGACAACGAATCCATTTTTGAATTGAATGTATGCGAATTTGCCAACTCTATCAATACACACGACTGCTACCAGACATCCTCCTGTCTTCGGCACAACGACTCGGGTATCAGTTATGGTCGGTTGACTTCAAGTTTTTTCATCTATAATGGCGTCGATTTAACGCTTAGATATGCCGACGGATCAAAGTGTACTGAAGACACTAACAAAACATTGTCGACTATAATCGTACTAAAATGTAATTCAAATGCGACAAAATCTGAACCAAAGCTCAAGAAAATCACTTCATGTGTGGCTCAGTTTGAATGGGAAAACTCATTGATGTGTGATATCAAACCATCGAAGTGTGCAATACTGAGTGAAAGTGGAAATTATTATAACTTAAGCCAACTCTCATCGATATCGCATTCATGGAACACAACTGATCCAAAGGACTCGTTTTCTGTTTATTATTTGAATGTTTGCTCTAAAGTACCGAAAAGTATTGGTTGTAATGACCCGAACGCCGGTTCGTGTAAATGTTTTTATAACTCACAGAAACAGTTTGATTGTTGCATAAGTTTAGGCCATCCATCGATGGATGAGTTAAAGGTCTTATCAAATGAAGATTTACTGTTGACTTATAGTAATGGTGACGACAGAGAGTGTCGTAAAGGAATGCGAACAAAGACTGAGATTACATTCAAGTGCGACAAACATATAGGTTATCCAAAGTTTGTTAACGTTTCAAAGTCTCAGTGTATTTATCGGTTTGAATGGAAGACGTTAATGGCGTGTCCAGTAATGGATCAAAACGATGAACTCATCTATAAGGATGGCTTTCTGGAGGACAATCGACTCGATGTCTACATCAATGTATCGCCACTAATGGGAACTACTTTTAATGTGAATGAATTCAGACAATTGGATAATAATAAGACAGACAATTATACTTATGTCATAAATCTGAGTAAACCCGAACTGTCCACTGACTACCAGTGCTCTGAAGCGGCTGTGTGTCAGACAAAAGGGGATTTTAGACGAGATTTAGGTAGTGTTAAGACAATAAAGTATTATCTAAGAGGACATGAACTTCAAATGGCATTGCAGTCCAAAGGAGGCACTCGAGGAAAATGTGGCAAAAATGCCAACAAAAATGTGACCACAATTTTCCGATTTCATTGTTCCTCATCGGCCGGTGTCGGAGAACCAGAATTTATGTACGAAAGCAACGATTGTGACTACGTTTTCAATTGGGAGACATCGATGGTCTGCCCAATGAATTTCCTTAAACAAGAAGAATATATTGAATATATTACCGAACGTAACAGACAACAATCTGGTGGTCACACAAATCTGTGGATCGGTATCATAATAGTTATATGTTTTGTGATTACTGTTTGTGCCCTATTGTTATACAAACCATTCAGGTATATTTGATAACTTTTTTATATATTAATTAATTTTTTGTTGTAATTAAATTTATTTATTCATATTTAGAAATTATGTTTGGTCTATTGTGATACCAATAGACAATAAGTATTTATTTAATACATATTATTCAAGAAAAATTTTCATAATCATCTCATCTATATATAAATAACATGTCATTACATTTTTAATTTTTTAAAAATTAACACTAATTATTATTATCATCATATTTTAATTATGGTAAATTTTACAATCCATTTTATCATATTATATGTTTTAACCATTTTAATATAACTTATTTTTTTATATTTTTTAGATCCAATGATTTTTTATTAACATAAAAACTTAAGTATCGTAAGTATTTTAATTATTTTATATATATGAAAATCACAAATAGATATTAGAGAGCGAAAAGTTTCGGACCCGTACCTGACCCGTACCTGATCTGATACCTAAAATCTCGGACTCGGACCTGACCTAACATAGGGTACAAATTTACCTGACCTGACCTGACCTGACTATGTAGGTCCGAAAATAATTTTATCAGAAAACAATTTTATTCATACTATACACACAACAAATTTGTTTAAATTAATTACTCGGGTTAACGATAACTGATAGTAGATCTAACTTAGATACTAATAAAGTTAATATGCCATTATTTATTAGATCAAAATATGATATTTTGTAATATTTTATGTTTTATTTATACAAATATTTCATAAATAATAATTTAATAAATTTTGTGTTTGATTTTGATATTTTGTAATAATTGTCATTTAAATAGTGAATAAAAAATTTTCGGACCTGACCTGACCAAAAAATTTTGGTGTTCGGACCCGTACCTGACCTTAGCCCTAACTTTTACCTGACCTGACCTGACCTGAAAAATCAGGTCAGTTTTCAGTCTCTAATAGATATCTAATAGATGTAATTTTTTGTAACAAATATTAAGATAATAACAGTTTAGGATAACTAATAGGAAGGACATGTCATGTGGTGTAGGCATATGTTGTCGGTAACACGATTTGTCTTAAATAAATTACACAATTTGTCATCAATTTTGGCCATTTCATTGCACGCGTCCACTATGTTGTCCTCATGTAAACTATTATATAACTGTTTCCATTCATTTGTATTACATTTACTTAATTATCAGATTTAGAATAAAAAAACATAAAATTGTAAATAAATAAAAAGTTAATACTAATAGAAAATAATTAGAAAATTAGAATTAGAAAATACAATTTAATTGATAATAAAAATACCAATTGTTTGACACTACATGTGTACTCCCGATGATAACAACAATATTCAATAGTAAGTTGTGTTAAATCTATTGGTTTATCTGATGTCAAACTCCACTTTTTAATGAGAAATTGTTAATCTTCGGCCCAATACTGATGTCACACAACATTGGATTGATGTTTGAAATACAAGGAACAGTAGGTATGACTGTCGCTGATTGGATACTAGTTTGGATGTGTCGGTGATAATCCATGTTTCGATTTCTGACATTAGTATTATCATTACACGGATTCTGTGTAGTGGTTCGGCCATTGATAAACATTGACGGAACTGTGACATCGATATTATCAAAGCACGGGATGTATATCTTACAGGTGTCCGTCTCTTCAGTTATATTGACTGTATTTTTCAACTGATATTGTCTACAAAAATCAAAATCACTAATCAGATGATTGTTTTTACATTTCTTGAATATGGATCCAAAAAACAGATCCGTGTATTGTTCGTAACAGAACCGATGCTATCAATTGAGATATTAATTGAATTAATTGATAATTTTGTTGTTTTGTTATTATTGATGTTTAATACTAATAATAGTCTGTTTTACCACTCTTTTATGAGAACACTCTCTTTCTCTGGCTTTACAACAGCTCTGTTGACTAATAATACCATTGACAGCACCGACCCATTTGCTGTCCAAACATTTGTCCACTTTATTGACCACTTGATTGCAGGGATGACTAAGATTTGGATACAATAACTTTTGGTTGTCATCAAAAACAAATATATATATATCAGGATTAAGCAAGGTTTTGGATTTTAGGGGGCGTAGACCGGGGTAAAATTTACAAAATTCTCGAAAAATCTTGGAGGGGGGTATTGGGTGGGGTAAGATTTTTATTGCATTTTTAAACGACAATTTTTTCAAAAATCCAAAATCAAGGGGGGGTCAAGAGAAAATTCTTTAATATTCCATTAAATTCCCGAATATTCCCATGTAAATTCAATAAAGTTCCCGCAAGTTCCCGTATAAATTCCCAGGAAAATTGGTAAATTCTCCAAAAATAAAAAAAACTTAAAAATTTAAAAAAAACTTAAATTTTAACAAAAATTAATACTTAAAAATAGTTGATAAAAGCATTAATGATACACTATGAGTTTTTTTTATTATTTTAGTAATTTTTAACTTTTAAAATAATTAATTTTTTAAATAATACTTAATGTTTATAGTTTATAGATATATATTTTTATTTTTATGACCCCGAAATTTTAGGGGGGGTCATTTCTCCTCGTTTTTAAGTGACAATTTTTCCCAATTGGTCAAAAAATCTGGGGGGTAAAATCTCAAAATCTCGATCCTAGGGGGGGTATTTTGGCCTTACCCCCTACCCCCCTTACTTAACCCTGATATATATATATATATCTTTCCATATTAAAAAAAGTTTTGTGTTTTGTCAGATAACAATACATTACTATCTCATGAATAATATCAAGATAACACTTTAAGATAATAGTTTTATCTGTCTGTGTGTATGTGTGCACATTTCATCAACAACCATATTTTAACTCAAATCTAAAAATGTATTGTTATATTTTCAATTTTTATTCAAAGTAATGTTATTTCTATGGGAAATTTTAAATGATTATTGAGCTCAGGTAGATTTTTAGGACAGGTAGGCATGTGCTGTGTAACTATATTTAGCTATTTGGTATTCGTCATAGGGCACCGGGAGGTTAGCTACCTGTGCTAAATTTTTGTAAAATTTTCTCAAATGCAAAAATTTTAAATTTGTATTAAAATTTTCTATTTTTATTCAAAGCAATGTTATTTCTATGGGAAATTTTAAACGTTTATTGAGCAATGGTATGTTTTAGGGACAGGTAGGCAGGTTTTGTGTTATTACACTTTGTTATATTATATGAGTCACATGGCACCGGGAGGTAAGCTACCTGAGCTAAATTTTAGTAACATTCTTTCAAATGTAAATTTTTTTCGCAAAAATGATTTAATTTTCAATTTTTATTAAAATTATTTAAATATATATAAAAACTAAAAATTCTCAAAAGTTTAGACGAAATAATATGTATTGGTTCAGTAGTTTTGTTACATTAGGTTATGTAGTAGTTATATAGACAAATTAAGTCTCATTCAAATTACTTATGATGAATATTTTAAAATTAGTAATAGAATTCCACGGCTAGACATGTTGTGCGGGACAAACTAGTATTATTTATTTATTTAATTTTTTAATTTATATATTTTTAAATAATTAAAGATAGCGCGAGACGTAATAAAAATTTTTCAATAATATTCAATGATTTTTCAACTGGTCTCGCGATTGTTATAATTATTAATAATTAATTAATTTAAATATAAATATATATTATTTATGTATTAAATTAAAGAGAGTGTGTGTGAGAGAAGAGAGAGAGAGAGTAAAATTAAATAATCGTATTGTAATTTTATTTGTAATTTTGATAAAATAAAAATATATTATTTTTTTAAACATATAAAAATATTAAAATGGGTATGTACTAGTATATATTAAAAATAAATTTATTGAAAACATATATTGTAATAGTTTGAAATACAATAATTAATTAACACACGCTCTACAGTGAGAAAAACATTAAACAATTTATTAAAATAAAAATATATATTTTTAGATATATCTAAATCTAGCAAATTTTTTGATAAACATTGAATTAGACAATACATATATGAAAAAATAATGATAACATTTAGTTAGTTCATACAGAAAGCTTTTAACTGGCCATACGATAGGCCGATGATTTTGTTATTGGCTTTACATATACTTGTGGTGTCTGTGGTGTTGACTCTTAAATTTTAATGTCTGATGCATTGGTTGTGGTGGCTGTTGGACAACAGTAGTAGTTATAATATTCACGGGTTGGGGTGTAGTGCATAACTTATACATTTTAATTTCAATGACATTAATTAATATTATTAAAGTTATTAATGCTTTGCATCTAAATTTGTTACAAAATATTTTGTAATAAACATAAATTCAAAGCATTAATAACTGATATAAATCATTGAAAATAAAATCGCTAACATATTTTGCTTGATCAATTAGCCCATCAATGTTTGATAAATCGTCACAAATAATCATAGGCTTAAAATTAATTAGTTTAACTGATTTATTTTGATGATTATTTAGACCAATATATGTCGAATCATTGTATGTTTTGCGTATAGATTGCATAATACCAAATGGTATATCTTGTGTATGGATCCAAATAATGTTGTATTTTAAGAAATTTATTTTTTCGTGTGTATTAAAATTTTTATTTTGATTCAAATACAATTTGAAAATCGCAATATTAAACGCTTTATTAGTAATATAACCAATACATGTACTAGTATTTCCAAATCCAAAAATAGTTTGTTTTGACTTATTTATTATTCTTTCATCAAAAATATTAAATTTTGTGATACTTAGTACAATATAAGGCATAATATTTTTGAAGTCAGTTAAAGTATAATTTATTGCCAACTTATTTCTTAAATCATCTCTAAATCCATTATTCATATCTATAGAAAATTTAATTGATGTTATCTGTAAATTATTAAATTTAATGAATAACATTTAAGTTAATATTTTAAAATTTTGTAAATGTACATAACTTACATTTTGTCCATGACAATAGAAATTAATTGCATTTTTATAATACAATACAATTTCATATTGCATGTAATTATCAATTAAATACAAACACGACATAGTTATTTTAGGTGATTTATCATTTAAATATTTTGTTAGTTCATTATCATTAATTTGAATAATAGAAGATTTGATAGTTTTAATGAATTCAATTAATG